AATAGACAAATGAATTCACTTAGGTATGGACTTAAGATAAGAATTACCCTTTTAAGCTCGTCTCGACGTAGACGACGTATACCTATGTACATACGTTTATGACCTGACTGCCTGCTTATCAATCGACACGTACAAGAACATAATTAACTTGCGAAGGACTTGCGACTTAATCTTCATGCATTGAACAACAGGCGCAGTTAGCATTGCAAAACAATAGGTCATTTATCTATTTTCAATGACAATAGAAATAAAAACAATTATTTCGATTATGTGTACCTTGCTACTTGTATAGTCAGCCAATAAAGAGTCCCAATGCTGGTCACATGCTTCACAATCGGAGGGCAGATTGTAGTTCCCACAGGCAGGTTCAATGTGAATTGGGATCTTCACACACGTAATTAAATTGCTTTGTGTGTGCAGGTTTCATCACAATGTTTTCCTCACAGACCACATAAATAGTTTTCCTTCACCGAAAAGCTCATGGTAAATTTCAAAATTTCGCAAACGAATTCCGCGAAACTCAGAAGTGCGAATCACCACAGATATTTACTTACAAGTAACTACACATAGTCCCTATATATAGGGACTATACATAGTCCCTTACAATAATGTAATGAACTTACAATCTTAGCAAAATCGCAGGCGTGTCTTTTCTCCTCTAAACGGAGTCCCTTTCACCTGACTCCAACTTTTCGTGATACCTGTACCGATAGCCAACCGTCTTCACCTACTTGGAATGGACCTGTCGTCCAATCTGAACTTCGGCAGATACATTAAATCCATGGCCAAAAATGCAGGCAGAATAGCATTTTGACCAAAGTGAGGAAAATAATATTCGGCATTTTTATTGCGAATATAAGAGGTGTGATCGAAAATGAGTAGTTTGTATAATAAAATATAATTCATTGATTCTATCCAAAAGGAGAGCATCGTTTTAAAAGGTTTTTTATTATGTCCAGACGGACACCGTTTTCAGTTTGGCTTACCGCCAAACTATTACATATATCGTATACTATCCACTTAAATTGTATAAAAAACGACTGCGTTTCTTGGTACTTAAAGTATTGCACATAATCATAATTGTAGATTGTATAATATATGAAGTATGTAATAAATTGCGTTTTTAATACGTATATTGAGGTCAAGTAGGTGTGGCGATAAATTTTGTAGGTATAAATATGCAACAGTTGTTCTTTTTTGTATTAATTGTTGAATTATTTCCGATGTAACGCAATTAAATTAACACCCTGCATAGAAGACTGGGTAGTAAAATATGAAGTAAAGTTTTGTCAATTACGCAAACCAACGTTCCTTAAAGGATTATTCTTTTTTTTTCTTTTTTTTTTATTAAAAATGGACGTACTCTTGACCACTACCTAGCCCTAGAGCAAAGATGAGGTCTACGTTGGTACGAGCTCGCCCAGAAGAATACGGCAATTTTGCCGTAAAAACTACATATAGTTACCTGATATTTGTTGTTACTTGTGCATTATCATATCATGGGTATAATAAAGCCACATATATTCATACGTCACAAGTGCTTTTATCTCATGACAGTGATAAAAATAATACTAATCACGAACAAAGCAAATGAAACGAATAAAGTAAATTAGATATTTTGGGAAATTGTATGACTCTCCTATTTAAGTATAAAAAGTTATCGAATAATAATACCATTTGTAGAATGCTTTGAACCTCTCCCATCAAAAGTTGTCAATTTACAGATGTGGCCCTATTACACTAAGGTACGATATCTCTTGCAATAATCTTGTAATAATATATGTAATAATAATAATCTTGGGGTTTCTACACGCACCGCAAATTTGGTTTTAAAAATGTAATTACAATGATAATAACATTAATAATTCAGGCGACCACACCAATTACCTGATCTCAAACTTCAGAATTCCCCGAAGGTACTGTGAGTACCAGAGCAACAGAAGTAACTTTAGGCCATTGTAGATTCCGGGTAATCCCGGAACACCCACACCGAACGAGTTCAAAGGGAGAAGAGAAAAAAATTCGATTCCCTAATTGATCCTAACAACCATTAGTACCAGTAGAGCTCCTCGTTAAACAGTTCGTCCAGGAAAGTCCCGCCACCTTACCTATTTCTGCCGCCAAGCAGTAATAATAACGCACACACTCATATCCCCGCACTAGAGATACACTGTACGGCGGGTGTCATGGACACACAAATAGACAACCACAAATTACATCTAAACTCACGAAAGAAATAAATGCAGGCCATACAAGTGTAAGTTAAATGTAATATAAGTATTACTGGTTTCCGATTTGGAAGAGTAAGGGTGAAATTACAGGCACATTGGACTTGTCAACTTATGTCTCAGGGTGAATGGCGCAGTGGCAGTGCCCCTAAGATCTTTGCGATTTTAAGCTCTAACTGGCACTGCAGCTGTTATAGATAGGCGTGTATAGCTTACCATCAGGCGCACGACTTGTTCGTCCCGTCATTTGATATTATGAAAAAAAAAGACATTACTAAACCTAAAACGGTTTTAACTGTAAAAATAAATTAAAATTAAATTATATTCATGTGTACTTATTAGGTATATGAAACAACAAAATGAAAATTATAACCAACCAACAGACTTTGTTGTTATATATTAATAGGATACGTAACGTAAGTGATACATGTTCCCCATGCTGGTACCGGTTAAAAAAAACAGGAAATCCCATAAATTAACGAATTTTCTCCAATGCATAGTCCACTGAAATTTCTTTATTTATGAGCTGAAGCATTATATGCATAATGTCATCGTCTGTTTTAATATTGGTTATTATTTTTTAATTTAAATCTATGAGTGGCACTGCAACTGTCATGGATATGCGTGTCGCTTACCACCAGGCAAACGACTTAAAATAAATAACTGGAATCTAATCTGGGAGCTACTCATCAAGCGCCCACCCAGCAGGTTAAGTCACCGAGGACGATTTAACTTAACTTTTACGATTCTCGCGGTCTTAATTGCGAGTCTAGTACCCGTGCACACAGTTTTCCAAATTTTGTTAATGTGTTAATCAAATTGACCTTTGTAATTTATGTTTATGTGACATTATGTATATCATAGTGTTAAGTAAAATAAAATATTATTCTCATAATTAACACTACTTACCATAAACATGTATTCAAAACTATAGAATTATTGAAAACACTTTCGGCAATACAAAAAAACAAATCCATAAAACATAAGGATTACAAGTGATCACTAAAAGTAAGATGATAGGGACAATTACAAATAAATGATTAAAGAGCATGACTTGATACTACTACACGTCTGCTCGCAATTAGACCTTAGCGAAGTTTAAGTTCAAAGGAGCATTACGCTTGACTGGCTTGTTATAAATATTGTAGTAAAAACTAGGAAATCAACAGGTTGTCATTTGTTACATTGTTCCAACGTCTCAGGCGCAACAATATATCTGCAAAACGCAATGATTTCAAGAGAGGCATTACAAATGTTTAAAAATCTTCAAATTGACAGTTTCTGTCCTTACCTATTTGATTTTTCGTAGTTATCGTAAAATTTTGTTCAATAAAGTGACAATTTGTTTGTGCTAATATTAAAAAACGAAAGCTTTTTTAACATTACCACATCCGTCTTTCTTTAGTCAATTTGAGCATCTTAGACTGTTTTATAAAATAATATTATCAGTTAAACTATCATTTAAAATTAAATAAAAACCGCATGACACAGCCAAAAGTTTTTTATTTTTTTACAATAACATACACACTCAACACAGCCCCGAACTAAGGAAAGCCTGTGTAGCCATGGTGCCATGGACACACGTAGACAACCACAAATTACACCCAACTCACGAGAGAAATAAATGTAGGCCATACAAATATTTCTTCCGAACCGGGAATCGAACCTGGGACCTCTGCGTGGCAGTGGCATGATAACCGTTCGACCACGGAGGCAATTAAGTAAACCTGAATGAATACTTCATTGCTGTATGAATACTACAATGTTACGATCGACTAAGTCGACTAATAAGGTCCCTGTGCTTGCTCAGGCTATAGCGCCCTTCTTGTATACCCTAGGGAAAGGAACGGGAGGTGTACACTACTATCACCCGTGTTTAAAGAAAACTACAATTTAGGGCTATTCAAGATTTGATTTTGCTATGCTGTAGTATGAATAGCCAAATAAAATTCCTAGTTATGACTATAAATTGTGTTTTTTGTAAACCAAGTCTGGTGTCTGTGGAGTTTTTTTTTTTTTTTTTTTTTTATTGCGACTCGACAAAATGACTGCACCGCGCCTGATGGAAAGTGCGAATACAGTCCAGAGATGAGAGTAACGGATGGAAAACACAAATATCTTCACTCCGTCACTATCATTTTGCCGGTCTGGCCAAATGCACTGGATGTACACCAACTGATCCCTGAACGCGATTCGCAAAAGCGTTTCACTGTGGAGGGTTTTCCGCCGTGTGTACTGTGGTCGCTATCCAGTCGGCACAGAGCCTACCACAATGCTAAGCAGATGGACACTTGTGACGCCCTCGGTCGCCTCTTACGACCCCCACGGGCATGTATGGGGAGGCGACAATGTATTCTTAAGCCGTCGCCCCACGGCTAAAAAGTTTGGTTATAAACCTTATTATTTGAGGCTCTGTATTATCCAATTCTCTCCTACTTGGGAATAAATTTATGTATATTAGATGAGTGGTTATTCGTACTGTGCGTCGCTTTCACTACAAGTTAACGATATTTAACCTATAACATTAATGAAAAATTCGGAAAATCCGGTACCTTTTGTCCATAATAAATTGAAACAAGTTCCTTTAAGATCTTGAAACTCCCTTTATTGCCGATGTACAAGCAAAACAGGCGATTAAAAAACCGAATAAATGATTAACCTCACTTTATTAATATTTCGAATTATGCACGTTTTATTACGATTATTACTATTTACACACGTGTAACAGTAAAATTACAGTAGTATCAACGAAAATTCTTTTTCTTTTTACAGTGCGCTGGCAAACGCGAGCCTGAAAAAGAGCAGGAAGCACAAGCATGGATCGAAGCAGTAATTGGTGAACGGTTTCCCCCAGGAGTACCGTACGAGTATGCCCTCCGTGACGGCATCATTCTTTGCAAACTGATGAACCGACTGCAGCCAGGCATCATCACAAAAGTCAATATCTCTGGCGGAGACTATAAGTTCATGGACAACATTAGCCAGTGAGTTTGTTGTTTTGCCTCGATAAATGTAAATATTCCTATAAAAAAAAAGTTCTAGGTACTTTAGATCCCGTAACCCTATGCATCTTGGTTATACAGGTAATATGAATTTTGGATGATTTTGGACAAAACGAAAGATATGTTCAAAACACATGTGACCCCGGGACCTGTAACCGTAGCTGGGGCTACTCTTGAAGTTGTACATAATTACGTCTACCTTGATCAAAATTGTAACTTGACCGGCACAATTTCGGGAAGAAAGCCGACAGGAGAATTCGTTTGGGCTTGGGAAGCTTAACCACATGTTCATGTCGTCAATCCCACAAAGCCTAAAAACTAACGCATTTAACCAGTGCGTTCTACCAGTTATGCCCTACGCAGCCGAGACGTGGACATTAACAACTGGTCTCATACACAAATTCAAGGTCGCTCAGCGTGCGTTGGAGCGAGCTATGCTTGGGGTTTCTCTGATGGACCGAATCCCTAACAAGGTCATACGTTAAAGAACTAAAGTGACCGACATTGCTCGCAAAATCAGTAACCTTAAGTGTCAGTGGGCCGGGCATGTCTACAGGAGGGTTTATCGCCGATGTTCTGGAATGGCTACCACGTCAAGGAAAACGCAGTGTGAGACGGCCTGCGGCAAGAGGACGGACGACCTAAGCAAGTGGCCGGCATCGATTGGATGCGGGCGGCACAAGACCAGGAGAGTTGTTGCGCTCCAGGGGAGGCTTATGTCCAGCAGTGGATGATGATGAATTTTGGGAGACACAGTAATAATAAATAATTCAAACATAGATATACCTATCTCCCTGAAATTATCATATATTCTTCTCTGCACTAGTAGAGTGAGTACAACCGAACACTACGTTAGGTTACTAGACCATTAGCATTAGATACAAGGCAGAATGTCAAGGTTAGTAAAATGTATAGACAAGATATATGCCACAGACGACTTGTTTGGACGTCGTAGTCCTTATAAATTATAAACGGTAACGATGACCTACAATAATGAGCCCCTGGTAATGTAATGTCCACTGTACAGTTACAGTTCTCAAGGAAAGCTATAGTTCGGTTATAATATTATAATGGGAGTTAAAATAATCAAATTTATGTTTGCTACAAAAAAACTTAAAAAAAATTATTTGTAAAACAACATTTCAACATTTGGTGCACATAAAAATGCATGTGTAGAATATTCAAGGATATTATATTTTATACAAAACGAGCAGGACACATTATTCATTATACACAAAACTATGAGGTTCAAACAAAAGCAAGTCGTATTTTTACTAATTAAAATATCAAAATGACGCTACTCAAACGCTCTGCTTGGTTAAATTTAAATTGGCCTAAAGGTTTTGCAACTGGGCCATACACCTCTGTAAAATTAAATTAAAATTATTATTCAAATCGGTACCTTCAATGAACACTACGCCAACTTAATTTTTTTTTTGTTTTTTATGTCACAAAATTCGTTTTTGTTTTCGTTTTTGAATTTTGTTTTTGATTTCTTTTTTTTTTTCAAAATATTCGGATAGCATATTATTAATATAAATATGGCTGTTTGTTATTAAAAATAACAGAAGCTGACCAAAAAATAAAGGCGTAGTTCATTGGAGGTATCGAAATAATATAATGGCACATTTACACCGGACCGTCTGTCGACCTTCGGCAAACTACTTCACCTGCAGGAGGCGACGCAGGCGACTCGCCATCGCCATTTACATCGAATCAGATTACAGCCGACTATTGACTAAAACACGGCTAAGTGACAAATGGTCGGTTATTTGACCATAAAATAGCAAAAAAACTGCTTTAAATAACAAAAAATAGAGGACAAAATTCTCTTTTAAAAACAGTTAAAATTAGTTAACGTGTTCGACTTATCGGAACTTACCCTAACAGTGCATAGCTGAAATATCATTAATCAATTTCAATATTCTGAAAACCGGGTTATGGTTTTTATGATATCTCAAAAGACTATTTTGTCACTTAGCCGCGTTTATCATAGAGCGCACTGTAAGTTTCCGGAACCGGCCACACACTACAATATTTAAAAAGTAATTACAACATTTGAAAATGAAACTCTTTGGTTGTAGAGTAGGTACAGTTTGTTTCATCTGACTGTCACTTGTTTTTACATTGTGGCGTTATTTTAGAAATGGATTTAACTCGTGAAAATTTTCGTAGTATGATTTCCTACGACTTTAAATGTAATTTAACAGCTCAGCGGAGCTTCACTCTGCTGCTTTTGGCAATGAAGCACCATGCAAGACGACTATTTATAGTTGGTTTGCAGAATTCAAACGCGGTCATCCACTGCTGTGAACAGCCAAAATATCGATGCTGCGCACCGTATGTTCAAAACAGACAGGCATGTGACCATACCATGAGATTCGGACATCTTAAGCATAGGCATGAGTCAAATGGAATCAATACTACACAAACATTTGGGTGTGAAAAAGCTGTGCTCTCGGTGGATCCCACACAATTTGACTGAAGCTCAAAAAATGGATCGCGTCACTTGGTGCAATGTCATGCTTACCAGGTTCGACGAAGCGGCGTCAAATTTGGTGTAGGACAGGTGACAAAACATGAATTTATAGTTACGATCCCAAAACAAAGCAGCAATTGAGCGTATGGGTCTTTCGAGATAAGACGAAACCAACCAAAGTGGCGCGCGTGCAAAGTGCCTCTGAGCGGTTGTTTGCTTCTTTTTTTAATAAAACTGGACACGTGGCTACTGTTGCTTTAGAGAATCGTTGTACCGTGAATAGTGATTGGTACACGACCATTTGTTTCCCGGAAGTTATTGACAAGCTCCGTAAAAATAACCGTAAATGCCGTATCATCTTGCACCTCGATAATGCCAGTCCTCACACGGCCAGACAGATAAATGAATTTTTGAAGGTGAACAACGTTGACCTTATGAGCCATCCCGCGTACAGTCCCGACCTGGCACCTTGTGACATTTATTTATTTCCAAAAATTAGGAACCAGTTACGCGGTCAACAATTTTCATCACCTGATGAGGCCGTCGAAGATTGAAAAATATGTTTCAGAGATTGTGACGGAAGAGTGGCATAAATGTTTTCAAAATTGGTTCATTCGTATGATAAAGTGCATTAACGCAAAAGGAAACTATTTTGAGAAACAATAAATTCATACATATCATATAAACAATATATTCTTATTCATTCCGGAAACTTATAGTGCGCCCCACGTAGTTAGCGGACGGCAGTATAGTGTTCTGTGCACCAAGTCGCCTGCCGTCTACGGCAGACTACGTCGCCTTTGAAGTGAACCGTGAAGTTTAACCTTACATTTTAAATTAAAAAGTAGTCGTACATTATTTACCTATTTTTAATATGTATATTATGACATTACGAAATGGAAGTCTTTTTCATTACAGGTTTCAAAAGGCGTGTATAAAATACGGAGTACCTGATGTAGACCTCTTCCAAACCACCGACCTTTGGGACCAGAAGAACATCTCTCTCGTCACACAAACCATATTTGCCATTGGCAGAACGGTACGTATCTATAAGAATGAAAAGAATCTGCAACGGATAGACGGTGTGAGTTGAGCTGTGGACAAATAAGAAAAGAAGTTTTAGGAATATGCGAATGTCATATACAGAGAACCACAATTTAACCACTATAATGTGGTGTTTTACTCATAAATATGTGATTTACAAAGTTAAAGTAAGAATTCTATTGACAAAAAAAGTCATCTTGAATAGAATCATTATAAGTAGGACGTCAATGTAATGACATGCTAAATTTTTATGTAATCTTTAATTTCATAAAAGGAAAAGGGCAGATACGAATAAAACGAGAGTAAATGTATCACCACAGAACAATAAATACAGTAGAAGTGCTTAATGGGCATTCCACGTGTGCCAACAGTACACGGAGTTTCACATACTTCAACTTAGCCGCCTTTTTAGCTTTGTATGGTTTTGCCAATTATCTCGCGCAAAACCTCGAAAAATACCTGGAAAAATACCTTACTTTGCTTCTTTGCAGTGAAAAATAAGAGTTGCACCTGTAATCAATGGCCGCGTCTCTATCATCGTTAAGTTATATTTTATTTTATTTTAATAAATTTTCTGTTTTCTGTTTATCGTAAAACATTTTTTGTTATAAGAAACGAAAGTAAACCTTATACTGCAGCAGTATGATCTACTTCATTTGGAGAACATTAATACGCGTTAACCGTACGTCGTCTTTCAGCTGTTGCTGGTAGATGACAGCACATTGCATTAGATTTCAATATAAAGGTCGTTTTCAGATGACCTCCAAAAATGTGTCCCTTTCAATAACTTTTATGTTATTACATGAATACTAAGTATTATTTATTTAATATGATTGCTTGCTTACTTAGTCTGTGTTACACATAAAAAGACTGCTTTACTACGTCACAGTAATAAATAAAAACTAAAAAAGTGCTCAATTTCTCAGTCATGGGAGCCGGTTCCACGTCGCCCTAATTTTAAGAAAAGAAGAAAAAAAATTTAACACTCGTTGAAATCGCAATATTTCCCATCGAGGATAAACTCTAATAACTTTCACGTCGAATACATACCATAACTTTCCAATTTATTACAAACAAACACGTTTTTTTGGGAATACAAAATGTGTTTCAATATTCTTATCGTAAGTGTCACTTCAACTAAAAGTCTCCTAATAACAAAAGTTCATACCGCATCACCTTCACCCTTCGCACACGTGAGAAGGGACTCCTGTCGGAATGGAGTGTACACAGTGAAGTAACCTATGCATCTCCGTTTTTGCAAAAAATCGACTTAAATACCAATTTCAGCACTAGTGACTAAATCGTTCTCATTCATGTAAAGCAAGTTAACTAAATAAGTATTAAGTAATAGTTTTATAAACTTTATTGTACGAGTACATCAATCATACAAAGGGAACTTTTAAATCGATGCACTTTTATAACGGTCCAGCATATTTTACACACTTGACAATTAAAAATGTATCCAAATATCATTATTGTCGCTCTAATTCTTGTCTACTTTTAAGTCAAATAGTTACTTTAAGCCAAATATTTACTTGAAATATAACAATTAGATGGTGATAGTGGTGGTGATGACGGTAGTGACGCCGATGATGGTGGTGATGATGACGATGATGATTGTAGTGATGATGACGATGATTGTGATGATGACGTGAATGATAATGATGCTGATGATAATGGTGATCATGATGATGATGTTGATGGTGGTGATGATGATAAATTGATGTACAACAAAGATTATATGACATTAACAAAATACTTATTTAGATTTATTTATTAAGTACATATAGATAGATAGATGGTCTTACACGGATGAGAAGGACTTTGATACAAGAAGTTATATTAAAATATTTGTTACATATTAAATGATGTTAAATGTTCTTTTGTGAACGATAAAATGTGTGTTGTAATAACAATTTCTCATTACTGTGCCGTCTTTATCATTTATGTTTATGAAAAAATCATTCGTGTTACTGCAATCTCATTCGTGTGACCTCAAAATATCGTTTTTTGTTGTATTTAACTTAAATATTTCAGTGATATTATGATTATTGACATTGCTTGAACTTATGTGTTTACGTTTAAGACCTTAAAACCAAAAGAAAAAAGGGTTTCACAAAAATCACTCAAAAAGTGCCATTGAAATTCGAAAAGTGAAATTCACCCATAAATTAAAAACTTGCAATAATGGAACCTATTGAAATTTCAACGATATGCCAACTGAGAAAAGTTTAAAATCCAAAATTTGTTATATCTTTTTAAACTAGACACTACTACCAATTATTATCAAGATTTCATGATGTTAAATTTTATGATAGTGTGAGTTTTAGCGACAACGGTTCTGATAGTAAACAAGGCTTAAAGCCAATAGAAGGTGTTTTTTCCTTCCGTGAAACATACTCGCTTTTCAGTATTCACTTACTTTCTTGCTTTTCCCTTCGCTTCAATTAGGTAATCCGTTTTTTTTTTACTTTTCGCAATCGTTTAAGCTCACATTCCCGCTTCCAATGATCATATTATATACAAAAAAAAGATCCAATTCGAATTTGTATCATTGACATTCGGTTCTATACACGCTGGTGGCGCCCCCTATCAACTAGGTCTATCCCTTGCTTTACAAACTTGCAGTATAATCCACAATACATATAATTATAACATTACATAGAATTGTAATTCATCTATTATTAAATATAATTGAAATTTGTAACTGTTGATGACAGTAATGAATAAACTTTTAACAGAAAATTTATAACAAGCATTAAGTCAACCGTGACCATGGGACCTGTAAAGGGCCCGAAGCGTCGGTTTGTTTGAAAAAACAAATATACGCGATTTAAATCAGGAAAAATAGTTTCATTTCCTAAGCATTAACTCAGTAATAATTTTGTCACAGGCATACAAGCACCCAGAATGGCGCGGTCCCTTCCTAGGACCAAAACCCGCTGAAGAGAATCGCCGTGACTTCAACGAGGACGTACTACGTGCTGGTCAAACTGTGATTGGTCTTCAGGCTGGCACTAACAAGATGGCCACACAATCCGGACAGAACTTTGGCGCTTCCCGCAAAATTATTTTGGGCAAATGAAAGGAATATTGCCGTTGTAATTTATATTTATAGGATTTTTAGTATTATTTATTAAGTATTGTGAAATAAATAATAATCATATGTAATTATAAATCAGCATAGGTGTTAAGTTTAAATAAAAGTATTTATTTACCTATGTCTTAAACACATAAAATAAAAATCGTAAAAGTAGACATTGAAACTTTGTGGAGCACTTAATGTCGTCTCCTATATAATTTATTTTTATTATTGTTATTTGTAATCCCACGAACCTATACCTATCGACTCCACTACATCCTGTCTGTGATTCTTGGGCTATCGGTAAAATGAGGAAATAAATAATACATATTTTAATACACTACTGTGTTCACATATCTATACCCTTAGAATAATAACGCATAGAAACCTAGCCCGCACACGCTAAGTGAGGCAAGTTAGAGGGTTCCAAACGCGTCCCAGGAGCGCGCGGGCTGTTAGTGCTCAAGGTCATATTGCACCGCGAACAGCTCCAAAATTTTTTGCTAAAAATGACGAAATGTGCGGTAAATGGGTGTAAAAATACAACAGACAAACACAAAATAGACACTAACATCGCATTCCACAAGTAAGTAATGCGTTTCAACTCATATTTTTATGTAAATATTCACTAAAACAGAAAAATAATTTCGCGGCAACAAGATACGAAAGTGTTGCAAAGTAACGAATTTTTTTTCTCCCCATTTTGCTATTCTGTATCAAAATAATTATATTACGTAAATTTTAGTGGTGCCTGTAATTTAGATTTATTTGCGCATCTTGAACTAATATTTACTTTAATAAACATTAAATGTTTTCGTTAACTCCTGTAAGTGATTGGGACACTTAATTATTTTATAATACTTTTAACGGCTCTGCGTTCATGCTTTATTGAATAATTATTTATTTTAATTTTATTTGAATTGGAGCACATATTGCAACAAATTTACAGTACTTATATATTTGTTTCTACTATAGTGTTGGCACCACCAGTACAACTTTGATAGCTTATTATATGTCTTTCTTTTCGTAACTCAAGCGAAATATTTTATATTAAAATATTTTATTTTCTTAAAAGGGGAGCATTCTTAAGCGATTTTTTAATCTATTTTAACAGTTATTTTCTTTAATGTTTGCTTATGGCATTTTCGGTTTTAGGTTTCGAATATGGCACTTATTTCTAAATCCAAGATGCGGGAGCGATTTTTCGAATAATGGCAAGTTGGGTATCGTTTTCGAGATGTTTGGGAATGTTCAATACAAATATGGCACTCATTTCTAAATCCAAGATGGCAAATACGACAGTTCAAACAAAAGCAATATTCGTAATGAGCACCCCCAAATACCTCGAAAACGATACCCAACTTGCCATTATTTGAAAAATCGTGCCCGCCATCTTGGATTTACAAATAGTGCCATATTCACATTGAGCATCCCCAAATACCTCGAAAATGATACCCACATAGCATTTTTTTGAAAAAATCGTGCCCGCCATCTTGGATTTAGAAATGAGTGCCATATTCGTCATGAGCATCCCCAAGTACCTCGAAAATGATACCCATATTGCATTTATTTCAAAACTCGTGTCCGCCATCTTGGATTTAGAAATGAGTGCCATATTCGTAATGAGCATCCCCAAATACCTCGAAAAGGATACCCATATAGCATATTTTGAAAAATCGTGTCCGCCATCTTGGATTTACAAATAAGTGCTATATTCGTTTTTCATCGACAAAACCGAGCACATCTGTAGGCACCTGATCGACAATGTCGGGCAAATCTGTAGGCACCTTTAACTTAATGATGAGTTAAGCAAGATACAATTTCCCCACTTTTGAGGGAAATGTTATTCCATGGCATCATTATTTGTATATTTGTGTGCGTGCCGACGAGCGTAGTTACAAGTTGCTTACGCCTACATGAATTTGGTTTTTGCCTCACTTGTGACAGTTCGTTTGATATGAAACTATCATTCTATGCGTTATTATTCTAAGTCTATACCCTTATTGTATTTGTACCATTATCTAAAAAAAACTACTTATCAGAAGAGAAAAGAAGGCATTGTGGTAAGAAAAAAAGGAGCAAGTACGTATGAGCAGCTACTTAGTATTTTCGTGTATCTTTTACACGCGATGTGTTAATGCGTCGTTCTGCTCTTAATATTAAGGTCATGTATAAGTTGTATTTTTATAGAAACTTAATTATAATTTTTGTTCTTAAAGCCTACCTAGTGGTAATAATAAAACGCTCTTTTATCTCCTCTACGGGACGCCAAACAATAATAAAAAATAGCAGTCAAAGGTTGTTTGAATCATAGCCATTAAGATAAAAAAAAACATAGCAGAAGAATCAAGTATTCATTACCTTTTGTTACAAACTGTGGCTCGTATTTAAAAACTTTACTCAATGCTCAAGTCAGGACCTGAGTATGATTTCAAGCACTGGAAATACGACCCTAATGGCAGGGACAGGAGTATGATTTCGAGAGCTTTAAACCATGCTCAAATCCTAACTTGAGCAGACTTGAGTATGATTTCAATCACTGGAAATACGACCCTAATGGCATTTAAAGCACTGAAAATCATACTCAAGTCCTGACTTGAGCATTGAGTAGAGTTCTGGAATACGACCCTTGTAATATTATTTTTTTTTAACAGCAACACCTTTCGATACATTTTTAATCTCAATTAGCATCATCGATGAGTTTTTGCGATTACAACTTTGAACTCGGTTTTTCTAAACGCTGCTGAATCTTCACTTACGAAAGTAGGTTGCTAATAGCAACTGACTCCGATAAAACCTTCTTTTAGGAAAACTGCAAAATCAAACTACATAAAAAAGTACACTGATCGATATTAATGAATAAGCTCTAATATTATTATGAATGTGCTGCCATTGACAGGGTTACACTGTACGGGTTAAGAGCCTTCAGCTCGCCCCTAAGTCTGGTGGCACAGTCAAACCCATAAGGGCATCAGTAACCATTTGCAAAATATCTTTAATATAAATCAAACAACACAATCATGCATAACACACGTAAAATTAAAAAACCCGCTATTTTTCTCAATCACATTTCAGAACTATATCTTAAAACGAAATGTTAATTTCAGAACGAACATTTACGTCATATTTACTTCAGTTTATTCTAGAGTTGTTCTTAAAAGATTTAATCATAAGAGCTTGTTCATTCGACTCTTCGTTTCATGATTATGTTTTAAATAACCCACAAAGAATGTATGTACATACTATTGTACGACATGACTAGTACATATATATATTACCGTACACCGCTTTATTCAATACACATAAAATGATTCGTAAAAGAAATATACAATACAAAAAATATTTTAATGATTTTATTTACAAAAAGTTTGTTAAAATGTTAATTATGCGTGTTTTTATGAATTTGTATATCAAAACAACAATCTAAATTAAAACCTTAAATAATGTCTTGCGTCACTTTACAATTCATTTATTTATTTAAAAACACTTGAAAGCTTACAGTATTTACATGCTTACATGCACGCTTACAAGCAAATCTGATTACATTAATAAAAAATACAAAAATAAAATTAAGAAAAATGATATTACACAATGTACGCTACCCACTCTACAGGACACCAATGCTCGAAAGGTAGTTCACGAACAGGACCTTACCATGAACTCTTATTACGATTCAATTTAGGACCTAAAATGAATCATTGTTAGACAGCGCTACATGAAGTGTTCACCATCCCGCTTTTTTGACATTACAAACCTACACTGAACTGTAATGAGAGTTCATGGTAAGGCCCCAGAACACTTAACTAAAATGTACAACTTGCCTGTCTTTCTTTGTCTGCCGGTACTCGTAGACTTGTGCCAGATCAATCTTTAAAGGATGCAGTCCTATCTAGTTTAAATATCTGAGGGGCGCTGCCACTGCGCCTGTCACTCTGATACATAAGTTAACAAGTCCCATGTTCCTTCAATTTCACCAGCACCCTTACCCAATAGGTCAACTGAGCTAGGTCAGTCTTCTAGTTCATCTAGTTAGTTTAGTTCTTCTAATTCGTCAGATCGTCTTCGTCTTGCTCGCCCATTGAACAAAGGCTGGGATCTAGCTATTTTATTCACATGTACTACTAGCAACTTTCAGTATTATGAAGTCAATACACACGGTACACTGTACTAAATATTTAATAACACAATTTTGTATGGAATCGGTAGTATATGATTTTACTTCATACTATACTTGTTTAAAACTGTCATTCTAACTAAATATCTTTTCTTTTTACAAAACAATAATGGAATAACGTATTTCAGTTAAAATGGTGTGTTTAAAAATTAATATTCACAAAAATTTAATTTACGCAGATTGACAATATATATACAGACAAAATACACATCTACCAAAAAATATGAAGAATACTTACTTTGTTGCAAGCTTACATAATATATATAATGCACCGTAATACGTATTAACTTTAAATGAGCTGGCAACATTCAGTCGTGCATATCACAGACGGATAATTGCCTCGCTCGCACCGACCCTACTGATTAAAAGACAGGTGATTTATCAATCAACGCAGACAGTTCCTAGTTCGAACTGAACTAAGAACGACCGTTGAACTATGTGATGCGCGTTTGTGAATGATTTCGATATTCGATTCGTTAGTAAATAATAATCCTGTCATTCAAATGACAAATTAGTAAACTACTAATTTTCGTATTCGAATGATCTGCTTGATCATTCATTAGTATTATTAATCCATGGATTCCGCAGAGCATTTCTGCTCGTGATTAACTAGCCCTCTCTGGCATAAATGGTAAATACCGTAATTGTGACGAGGACAGGGATATTTTGATATGGATATTATTGGTGTCCTCATTCAATGTAAAACATCGAAACCTTGATCGACATCGATCGATGTTTTTCGATGCATCGCAAACATCGATATATAATAATACTCTTTGTTTTTCTTAACTTAACAGTGAAAACAGAGTAACACTATACCAATAGAGTGGTGCTGTCGCTGTAGTGACGTTTAATTTTGTGATACTGTGTGTTAGTTTAGTAGCACTGGTCAAGAGAAGCAAGGAACTTTAAAAAAAATAGTATTGCATCGGTAAGACATACATCTAAAAGTGAAAAAAAAACTTCAAATGAATAGAAATGTTTTTACGTAACAATAATTCCTTGTAGGAATGTTTTTTGCGATAAGGTAAACTGTCTAAAATAGACAACTATGTTCGAAACATATTCAATTATTCATTCACAGAAGAATGAAATATAGGATTATAAATACAAATAAAACTTTCCATTCGATAGTCGGATCCAATAGTCTGATCCGACTACCGGAAGGCGCTCGTACCATAGAATTGTATGAACACACAATACGCCAACGCCACATCAAGTCCGATCCGATAATAGGATCGGACGTGATGTGACTTCTGAGTGGGAAATAGCGTCCGATTTTATTACCGATCCGATTGGCTGAAGGCGCGCTCTCTATACTTTTGCGGGGAGATGAAATACACGTCCGATTCTTCCCTCCGATTTGCAGCGTTGCCAATGCAAATTATTCAAAATCCCCAAAAATCAAAATTATAAATTTGGGGAGAGCAAAGGTCATATTTCCCACATGTAAAAACATTTATTCGTTCTCAGTATTTGTTATATTACTATTGTTACGCTTAAAAATATATCAAATAGTTAAGAAAGTCAAAATGTACACATCTATTACATAAACGTTATGATATAATTAGAAATAAACTCAACAAGTTGAATTAACTTTAAACCTTACTAATTAAGCTTGACGAGTGGCAAGTTGTGGTATTAAAGTCTTTCCACATGTATCCGGGCCGTGCCAAAGGACGTGAAGGGGCCGTGCTCCATCAGAAGCTCAAAAAAATATCGTTGCGTTTATTTTGTATGAACTCGTTCACACATGTCCGTGTCTGGGCGGCGTCGAGACGGGCCCGCAGTTCATACAAACTAGCACGCCCCGTCCACGTCACAGGCACGGCCCTGATGTGTGTGGATAGTCCTTTAAAATACCTGCTGCTCGGCTTTGTTCGGCAACAGCTGTATTAATTTTTCGAAAAACGAGGAAGAGTCGCGCGCTTAACACGCACCGACTAATCATCATCATCTTATTTAAGAGCCAGGGTCTTCTCGGTGACTGATAATAGTAGTAATTTTACAAGTCAAGACAGAGCTATTCCAATCCTACTGGATAATTTTAGACATATAAGAGGTTTGCTAATAATTCTATATAAATGTTGCTATATAAGCAGCGCACGTGCTATGTTGAAAAAAATATCAATATCGTTCATAAACAAACAAATAAATAGTGTTTATATCAGTGATCGTCAATGTAACAAAAATATGATAAAATTCTAGAATGCGAGGACATTTTCCCCACATAGGGTAATCCAAACGAAATCCTCAAAAGTTGTTTAGTTGAAATTCCTTGTATTTGGGAAATTTCCTAGGAATTGGCAACACTGTATTTAGTTCAGAAAAGTCTGACGTAAGAATCGGATGTGTATTGAGTGAATCCGATTCGATAGTCGAATCCCAACCATCAGACACGAAATTGGACGTGTATTTTCGCACTAAATGACTTACAATATCAAATTAAAGCACAAAGTCACGGCCTGACTTAGTGTTTCATATGATTCGATGTTTTTATTCAAAAATATCGATGCATCGAATACAATTTCTTCTTGTCAAAACATCGTATCAATCCGACGTATCGTACAATAAACATCGAATGGATTCTATACATCGATGTTCAACGAATATCCCTAATGTATATAGTGAATGATCGTGAAGTTCCGAGTAGTTCCGTGTTCGGTATCGGGTATCGGTAATCATTCGACTCGACTTGATTTGCCCATTCTAATGATTAGTATTAGTAACATTCAAAGTCGCGCAAACTAGTTCATGTCGATCAGTGTCGGAATATATTCCTAATAGTTCGTGGTTTATGTACTACACAAGTCTAAGTACTCAGCTCAACACTATTTTGTTAAATAACAAGTTTGTAACTCGGTCTCAGATGTTGAGATTTTTGTTTCCGAGCTGCGTAAATTAAGCGGGATACAATTTTAAGAATTCCAAATGTGAGACGGTGCGATAAAATGATAACTTTCGGTGCTGCTAGCACTTCAGCGGCGCTGGAGGACTTTGGTACGGCGCTGTTGCCTTTGTTTTCTTCATAAGTATAAGTTTGTTTTCATGGTGTCAATTCATGGTAGTTTCTTTATTTGTAGGAGAAGTAAGAAGTATTAGTGAGAGTGTGTGCAGCGATGGGTCCAATGCTACGGTACAGGCGAGTTCAAATCAAAGACCTCGTATGGATATTGCCTGTGTTTTGGACATCACACACTCTACTAATTTGGCCCAAAGAAAGCGAGCTTTAGAAGAGGTTCGGCTGGTATCTGAACTGGTTAATGCTAATCTGCACCATATCCCGGTACGTATACGGTGCATTTAATAAATACCTAAAGCAAAGTATGCTAAGAAAAATAAAATCGAACATAAAAAGGTGAGTAAAAGGTAAACAAGTGTTCTTTTCACAAAAACTTGGTAGATCGTTATTTTTAATCCCTCTCGACCTGAGCTTTATAGCTACCTACCAATTCATTATGAAATGTTAGAATTTTCTTTAATAGATACCTATGTTGTATAGTGAACAGCATGGCAATCTTTGTACTTTGTTCATTGAATCTTGAACAAGCAGTATAGAGTTCAATTCAAATCTTAAGTGTCAAGTTAGATGACAGGTTGTTGAAGTGGGTTGTTTCCCCAACTTTATATGTCTATTGGTATGGCATATTATGGTGATGGTACACCAAACAGCTGCTACCGTCCATTATCTAAAACACGGCTAAGTGACAAATGGTCAAATAACCGTTTTAACCTTCCAGTGGTCGCATCCTTGCACCGAACATAAGCAGTCGCGTGCGGTCTGTGAGACCGCAACTTTGCGCGTTCTGTTTGAGAAGACAATTGAATATTTTCATGACATTGTGTAGCACAAAAGTCTAACATCTATTTAAATGAAAATAAGAAAACATTATTTACTTATAATTTTTTTTCATTTGTACTTATTAGTTGAACAGTATATAAAAATGCAAAGTTTTAGTCATATGACACAAACAACGTTAAAAATCAACAAAATAACAAAAGATGGCATTTACTTTCTTTATCATTCATAAGTATAACACTATAATAGATTATTATCGAGATCAATCAATATTGTCATCAATTGCACAATATTGTAGGAACTCTAAAATAACATTAATTTTTTAATATTTTTTTCATGATGTACGTAATATCTCAATTGTTATAAAATAAAAAAGGAAAACAATATAAAAAACTTCTAAGTTTTTTTAGGAGCAGGTAGTATGATAATCTACTAATTATCAGTAGCAATGGTTTGACATAATCAAAATCTTCATCTTCTGTTTCCGCCTCCTCTGCAAGCCTTTCTGATTCTTCGTAACTCATGTTGTGTCTACAACACATAGTGAAATAATGAATAATTTAATACATATTACATTAAAAAATGTAATTTAGTAGGTAATATACTATAATTAACATGTAATACTCACCTTTTTCACCTGTTTCAATTTCATTCCATGAATTTTTCTGGAACACGGCCGGTCGCGCGCGGTATCTGAGACCGCAAACACAAATAAAGACACATATACGCTTGCGACGAACATCACAGGGCTACTAAACTAAGGGAAGTACCTCACCCCCTCGAGGATATCACGGTCGCGCAACCGTTTATTGTTTATAGTTTTTGTAAAATGACTAAAATAAGGTTGCAGCGGTCTCTGAGACCGCGCGCGACCGCTGGAAGGTTAATAGCAAAAAATAGAGCACAAAATTAACTTTTAAAAACAGTTAAAATTAGTTAACGTGTTCGATTTATCGGAACTTACCCTAACGATGCATAGCTGAAATATCATTGAACAATTTCAATATTCTGAAAACGGGGTTATGGTTATTGATGATATCTCAAACAATTATTTTGTCACTTAGCTTCGTTTTGGTTAGTGGACGGCAACAGCTATATTAGCATATGGCAAGTTTATAACTTCAACTTCTTTAGATGTATCTATTTGTTACCTATTAGTAATTATTCCATAAAGTACTCAAGGTCAACATGTAGTAATATCATATTAAAAATATAGTTTGTTTTTACTTTGTGGTTTGCATTCATTGAATAATTAAAGTAACAACTACACTGATTCATCAATGCCCATAAATAATAAAATTTTTGATAACAATTCTTCTTTTCTGAGTATTTTATTTTACATCCCGGACTTCAAGAGTTTTTTTATGATATCAAATTGCGGTGTAAGGAGGTCACACCGTCATCTTACCTCTTTATATCGCCTCTCTCCGCTTGTATCCTATCATTTTTTATTTTACATGTATTTAAATTTGAATTGTTCCATCTTCCATCACTTTCTCATTTTGTTTTCGCACCACGTTCACTCTCAGCTCGACCGCCACAACAGTCGGAGTTGTTACAAATCCCATCGCGAATAATCGCTAATTTTGGGTCTTTACTATGTTTATAATCTTTAAATAAGCTAATCATGTGTAATAATTTATAAGTCTACAGCCTTGATGTATCTATATCTGTAATTCAGTTTCTCGGCCCATTTAGGGCCCTTTCTTTAAACTTTACTTCTTTAATAAATTTTGTGGACCGGAAGTCTCCCGTTTCATTGCCGCGAACCTGTTCACGGCTAGTTAGGGTTACAACCCTTTCAAAGTGATAGAACAAACAAGTTATCCGCCTGGTGGTAAGCATCGTGCTTGTCCATAACAGTTGCAGTGCCGCTTAGAGCTTTAAATCACAAAGATCTGGGTGGCGTGAGAGGCCACTGCACCCCTCACTCTGAGATGTAAGTTGAAAGTACCATATGCCTGTAATTTCACCAGCATCATTACTCTTCAAAACCGAAACGCATTAATGCTTACATTATTGAATGGCGGCAGTACTTCCCTGGACAAACTCTTTCATAAGTAACTCTACTGTTACTAAAACTAACTTTCTTATCAGATATTTACTATCTACAATCCCCTCATTGCTGATTTTTGCAACCCCTGATAATATCCGTCTCATTGCTTAGTATTGTAGGGCATTGTATAGGCAACAACTGGTTCTCTTTCTTCTCATGCCTGCCCACCTTGAAGGTGGTCTAGTGTGATTAGCTTCCATTTGACCCAGTATTCTTAACTTAAATTTGTCTTGGCTACTTTGGGAAATCACGTTAAGCTAAAAACCCTTTCATAGAATGTTTATTTATCACAGTCTTAGATGCTCATCTTTAGATGTATGTTTCCCGAATGCTGCTGCAAATATTATCCCACCAGAGAAACTATCTTGCCCAGCAATTTATGGCTTCAAACTATGAATTTTAGTTAATGAGCATTTATAATTTCTTTTTTTAATTAATCTGTGTGTTTTTTTTTTAATGTACACACTCATTGCGCCGCATTAGGGAAACCTGTATCATTGGTGTCAACCACACACACACACACACACACACTATCCTCAAATTCAAACTCACGAGATAAATAAATGTAGGCCTTGCAAATACTTCTCCTGTTCATTCGCAGAGGCAGTTATGATATTGATTATGAAATGTATAAATGTTGACTATTGACTAACAATTCATAAATGTTTTCAGTTCGAAACTCTAGACTTCGGTGAGACCAGTGTATTAGACACATTTTACAATGCAGATGTAGCACTTGTGGATATCAGCTTACAATTGCAACAGAGTGCTTTGCTATACCATCTTGGAGTCCGAGAAAGCTTTGACATGAAAGAGAATGTACTGCTGTATAATGATGTTGATTCGGATGCTACATTGAGATTGAAGGTAGGTTTAGCACTTAATTGTTATGGAAACAATATATCTGCTAAGCAATGAAGGTTATGTTATATAAACTAATTAAGGTGATTGTAGCGGAGTGCTTAAAATGCAGGAAGTGTTCCCCATTCAATTCTACCTTGTTAAATATGAGTATTTTTATCTGAATACATATTTTTAACTTATTACAACAATGAAATGTTGAATGAGCAAAGTTTGATTGACTGAACTTACATTTCAGAGACAATGTTGAATAGGTACATATTTTGTATTTTATATTGGTGTTTATTGTGAATGAAAATGGTGAATGCACTTCTCAGAAATGAGAGAAATAAAGAAACTAATCAGAGTAACTAATTGAGGAAAACTATTTATCAGTAGTTCCTTATCTAGAATATTTATAACTAAATTTGTTAATCCTTGAACTAGGTAATTGAAGATCATGATAAATAACTCTTTTTAATCTGATGCATGTATTCATTTCATTGATAAAAAGTACTTTAGTCTACAACCAGAATCCTATAACCCAGAAGTTCGGAGCTTGAGTATGTGTTAATTGCGTAATGTGTAGAACGAAAAGATAGTTAGTATCTGAAATTGTTGTTAAAAATAAGTAATTGAAATTGTTTTTGAAATACTAAAGTCATGGTTCTGGTTTATTGAATAAATTGTAAAACTTAACAATTTAAAAAAGTTTCTCGAAAATATATGTATTGAAGACAATAAATTAGTGTGAAGAATCTTTTCACGAAATATAAACAGGTTACTTGTTTTTGGTTACTTTCTATTCACATCAAGTAGAAGAATCTATTTTAAACACAAATATAACAAAGTTCATGTTACATTCTACAATCAAGGGTCATCTCAACAGTGCATACCAATTTGTCAATTACCCTGGCACACAATCATGCTGTGACATCTGCTACCTCGTTTTATTCAATTACCCTGTCATTCAATATAGAATACAATTGTTAAGGAATTGTTGGGAACTAGAATCTATCTTGGAGTCTCAAGGTTTACTTATTTGGTTTTTGGGCCGTGGTTTAGTAGGCAATGGAGGTTTATTTTAATGAAAGTTCTCATATATACATGGGACGGGTTTCGACTATTTCCCCGCCATGCTGGTCCAATGCATGTTGGCGCGTCGCCAGATCCCCGTCGGTAGAAGTAGGGTGTGTTGTAGGACGTGCAGGTGAGGTTGGCTATTGAGCACCAAAGGTGTTAAGGTTCTCGAATGGAGACCAGGGACGGGACGGGCCCTTACTAGATGTACGGATGACCTGGTAAGGGCGGCGGGTAACCGATGGATGCACGTCGCGTCCGATCGGCTAGTCTGGAAATCTTTGGCGGAGGCCTATGTTCAGCGTTAGACGTCTTCCGGCTGATATGATGATGATGATATCATTAAAAAAATCTGTGGTAGCCTAATAGTTCGACTTTCCGCCTCTCAAGCAGAGGCCGTCGTGGGTTCGAATCCGGGCGCGCAACTCTTGAGTTTCTCGGAATGAATTGTGGGAAATTGAATTTGAAATTTACCATAAGCTTTTCGGTGAGGGAAAACATTTTGATGAAACTTGCACGTCGAAGAAGGTTCACAACCCTCGGAAAAAGTGTGTCCGCAATCCGCGTTGGGCTAGCCTGGCGGATTATGGCCTAAACCCTCGCCTGACAGGACCCGCGTCCAGCAGTGAGACGTATAAATGGGTTAATGATGATGATGAATCATAACAAGTGATAATACCTCTAATACGGACACTGTTTAGGATATTATACACATTTATAGATATTTCAATGTGTAATTTATTTTGAGAGAATATATACTACGAGTGACTACAATAAAATCTTGACAACTATGTCATTCATTCAATTTAATAATTGTCTTTAAAAAGCCAATAAAATACCATGGTTGTCATCTATCAATTTTATCATTAAAACAACACAGCAGCTGTAGTGCTTAGGTATTCAACGTATTTGCAAACAAACGTGAAAATAATATATTCATAATCCGTGGTCCATGGACCCGTGAAGACCTGTATGGGGTCCGTGTAATGAAGGCTGGAGGTCCACGGTGAGCTAACATAATGCATTAATACAAAAGTTGGTATATAGTATGTATGTACTGCGTGCATGACTTTTTTGGATTTTGACACCCTTTGACTACCATCCTTTATTGGAGCGAGACGCTCGTCAATGCAACCCTTCTGAAAGCCTTTCTTTTTCATGTTTTTGGAAAGGGTTCATGGGCTCTTTGAAATTCTGAGAGGCGTTCATGATTACAAAATGGTTAAGAAACCCTGCTTTAAAACCTACCAACTATTTAGCAATTGTATTTTACAGGTATCATTGCCAAATTTCCTGTTCGTCTCATACAAACTTACGGATGCTGGTACATGTGTGACTACTAACCCGGCAGCAGCGAAATTCAAAGGCGAAGATGTCCTTGATCCTAAACAACATTTGATGCTGAGACTTAGGAATATATTGCAAGATGTTGAAGTTCAAACCAAGTGAGTAATAAGTTTAGTAGCAGTAGAGGTCCTTGTGAAAGAGTTCGTCCAGGGAAGTACTGCCACCTAACCTTTTTCTGCAGCCAAGCAGTAATGTCAGTATTACTGTGTTCCGGTTTTGACGGGTAAGGGTGATAGTGAAATTACAGGCACGTGAGACTTGTCAACTTATGTCTCAGGATGAACTTATGCCTAAGAAACATATCCGACTACATAAAGAATTTCCTTTTTTTTATGATTCCAAATGATGGGACAATGAAGTCGTGCATATTGTGGTAAGCGACACGCCTGTTCATAGCGGTTGCAGTGCCACTCAGAGCTTTAATTCACAACGATCCGAGGGGCACTACAACTTCGCCCGACAACCTGAGACAAGTTGAAAAGTTCAACGTGCCTGTAATTGCACCCTGTTCTTGGAATAACAAATTAAGCCCAGAATCAATACCCGAAATACCCACTCTTAAGCAAAATGAATTTGGAAACGTTTCCTAAATTGGTTCTATTGAGAATCAAACACCGGATATCATCTTATTGCTGGGTGGCGAAATCGTGGCTTAGTGACAAACAACACGCAACATTTCACCGCGAGTATTTGATTATAACTTCCTTACATGAGACGTGAATATCACTCAAATGTGCTTCGTCGTCTTACAGTGAATAGTGTGTGATTTCTATGTAATTTTTCAGGAGAAACATGAAAATGTGGAGTAAAATTTAATAAACCCAAAACTACAAATTTAACATTTTAACAAATGCTACATTACTTTAATGATATGTTTAAGCAAGAGCTTTATTAGTTTTCCTTCAACAAAAACCCGACAATACAAAGTATATGTATAAAAATGCGCAACTGAGGCTTTTCACTCTATGGAGACGTTATGGAGGTCCTACTTTATTAACTGGCGTACTTTAAAGGGCATTTTCTATACTGGTTTACTATAACGCCTTTGGGATCGCGAATAAAAGCTATTTCACATATTTGGACCCACAAGGGGTACTACGGATTTGAACTTTTTTTTATAATATCAAGTGACGGCACGAACAAGTCGTGGGCGTGTTGATAAGCTACACGCCTGTGCATAACAGTTGCAGTGCCACTCAGAGCTTTAAATCGCAAAGACCTGAGGGGGCACTGCCAATAGGCCCGTCACCCTGAGACTTAAGTTGACAAGTCCCATGTGCTTGTGATTTCACTTGATTTTGATTTTTGATTTTTTTGATTTCACTTGACTTGGCTAGACGAAGACATGACGTTCGCAAGTCGCATTGGGTTAGCGTGGTAGATTATTGCCTCTCTTAAATTATTTCCGTAGCAAATAGTGGAATGTGTACGGTTATAAAGTGCAAGCTTATATCAGTTTTACGAATACGAATTGAAAAGTAATGTCACATACATTGTAATAATTTGAAAGAATGCCAGAACTATTTGTGTAGGTGCAAACAAACATTAACATTCTTTACATAAATTTGCATCTGATTTTGTACACAATGTTGCCAAATATTGCCAAAGTTTTTCGAGTATGCTTATTACGATATGCAATTTAAATATATTTGACTTGAATGAACCTGTAAATCGCTGGTTTTCAAGAATGGTGATCCATACGAAAATAGTTCATTCTCGACTTATATCACAATTGCAATGCAATTCAGAATGTGCGAAATATTATTGTGAAACAGACATCTTTTAACATTCCATGCTTAAAATAATCATGTCGTTTGACCCCAATGCCTTTTTTTACGTATAGGATCATTGATTGGACCGCTAAAACGATGTGTCTTTGCGCGCCAGATACGATTCAACCAAATGATTTTTAACCATTAAGCGTGAAACTCACAGAGAGCGGGTGCGAGTCGGGCGCGGGACGGGCACACTGGGGCCCACACACAATGTAATGCTCAAAATTCAGTTTTCAAAAAAAGATAATTTTTAAATACTCGCATTTTGAAATTTGAGTTTGGAGCACTACCTTGTATGGACCGCGCTCGATGTGTTCTCGTCCATATATACACGGAATTAGACCGGACTCGCGCCCGACCCGCACCCGCTCTCTGTATGTTTAGCGCTTTATCTTTAGAAATTTTTGAGGTAGGCCGTAATTTTAGAAATAATCGGCGTGTAGTGTGTGGGTATAATGTTAACTCATTTATTAGCAATTCGTTATTATATTGTGTGTGTTAGCGTTTTTTAGGTTCGGTTAGGTTATTGAAGGTTTGACTGTGTATCTGTGCGTCTGTGCGTTTGTCTCTCTGAGGGTAATTTTCAGATTAGTTTTCTCTACCTAATTTCGGTGGCAAGTTTTATTTGAATATTCTACAATATCATCATAAAGTATTCATTAATATTCGAGTGTAGTATCCTGGAATATTATTTAATATTTCACGATAATATACTCGAATACTTAAATAATAAAAATTGCCACCGAAATTAGAGAAAAGTAACCTGAAAATTACCCTGATGATGACGATGGACTGATCTCAAAGTGGTTTTCTATTTGAAGGCTAATCGGGGTAATTATTTTCTATGTTTGATGAATATCTGCTCAGCTGTTTAAAGATTATCAGCTCTTTTCCCAGTAAGGGCGTGTTCTCATTATGTAGTGTTGCCAGACAGTCGTGCAGTTTATAGAGTCGTGTCTTGTATATTAAAATGAAGTTGTTCACATATAGCACAACACGATTAACTGTCGTTCACGACTTTACGACGACAGACTATCATGACAGTGGGAACAGCTAGAACGACTGTCATCTGGCGATAAATAAAACGTCACGATAAAAATGTCGTGCAAACGACAAGGTGGCTACCGTGAACTGATAAATTGTCGTCACGATCTAGTGGGAACAGCTAGACACGACAATCGTTCAAATGAAATAAGCGCCCACGACACAGTCACGACGTATAGTCGTGATATGGGCACAGGCTAGACGCGACAGTCGTCAAACGATAAATAAAACGTTACGACATAATGGGAACGCGCCCTTAGTGCAAGTCTCATTCTTAAAATAAATATTTATTTTACTCCACCTATCCGATTGACTTCAAATTTGGTATACCGTGAAAATTCGATGACATTACAATAATATGGTAACCTGGATCTGACGTTCCTACCAGGACAGTCTACAGACTACTCAACTCCTTCACCGTGGCCGAACGGTTAGCATGCTGATCTGCCACGAGCAGGCTCCGGGTTCGCTTCTTTAAATAAGAAACATTTGTATGGCTTACATTTATTGCTCTCGTAAGTTTGGGCGTAATTTGTGGTTGTCTGTGTGTGTATCCAAGGCACCCGCGACACAGGGTGTGGTGACTGTATTGACTTTTTGAAGTATGCCGTTTTACACCAGGGGAATTAAAAAACATAAATATAAATAAGTTCGATTAAACGGTAAGCTGTAGCATAATATCAGCTGCAGTGTTAAGTACTTTTGTCACTGCCATTATGCTGAGGAGCAAACTTACACCACCATTCATATCACCGTTTTAGTTGATAATATTCATTATTTAGTTCATTGTACTGTATATTTGTTAACGTATTTGGATACATACGCGATTTTATTATTATTTAATATATTTTTTAACCGAACTTAAGTTCGGATCTATAATATATGCGAAATATAGTTTATTTTTCATTAATAATCGCAGAACAGAGTACTAAAAAAACCGTCCTCAAAAGGTCATATCATACAGTCGAATTGAGAACCTCCTCCTTTATTTGCAGTCGGTTAATAAGAAATAATCAGCATCAAATGCTAAAGAGGACCAGTGACTTGGTTACAAAATATATCGTCGCCTATCAAAGATAACTTGAAGATCACCCTTACCACATTTTACACCTAATATACCTGACTGACTGACATAATATGTCTGTGTGCTCTCTAGTGACCATATATTTAACCTTTATTGCAATGATATGCCTACCATTGTGCGCCTTAGTGGTGCTACTCTAAGGGTCGTATTCCAAAACTCTACTCAATGCTCAAGCCACGATTTGAGCAGACTTGAGCATGATTTGAAGCACTGGAAATACGAACCTAATGGCAAGGACTTGAGTATGATTTTCTGTGCTCACTGCAATACTCAAGTCTTGACTTGAGTATTGAGTAGAGTTGTGGAATACGACCCTGAGTATGAATATATCATTCAATGAGACCAATTTTGACAACTTTTTTCGACAGCACACTCGGTTCTAATTCCGTTACTCTAATATTCGTGGTATGAGGAATTGCATAGATTGACACCAGATTACACCATGTAACACAATTTTTGTTTCGGTGTTATCAACATCATTTCTTTATTTCTATGCAAATACTTTCCTGTTGTGGTCATGATAACGAAAAGTTAAAATTTGCTAACCATTAAGGAAACGTAGGGTTTTCTTTTTATTTAAGGCAAAAAGGGAACATTATATTAATGCTTTATTTTAACCAAAATTTATCATATCAAGGAACCTAGGAATGCATACTTTAAAAAAAAAACTTTTACGAGAATATCTAAATACAGTTATGTAGTTAAGTAAATAGGCAGCTATGCAAATGCCACTGTGACAGACAAAAGTAAAATGTCAGAGGTATAGCAACTCTTTTCTGCATACTTGCTGCTCAATTAAACATAAACCAAACCAGAAACAGAACCTTTTTGAATATTTGTTATATAATAAGCGTGATAAAAATTTAATTATTGTGATTGAAATTGTTATATTACTTTTAACATATTTCATAATTAATTGTAAATAATTAATGAGCATATACAATATTTAAAAAAAAATGGAAATAAATAATTGTGACTATTCATACACTTAAATGTTAAAATTCAATTCATATTAATTATTATAATATATACGTTGCGGATTGACATAATTACATAATTATGTCAATATTGACATAATTACATAATTATGTCAATCCGCAACGTAGGCTTCGTCAGGAAGACACAAATATAAATCAGCAACAGGCTTCGTCACAAAGAAATTAATAATCCAATTCGCTGGACTTAGTCATTTCTATTTAACTATAAGAATGAAATAGGACCGCTCTAATTCTTAGCTAGCTCAAACGTCTCCATAACACTGGCAGCATTACCGCGCTGAATAGCCAACGAAATTTGTTGCACCAAATAAGATTCAGAGCGTGGATCATAGCCTCTTTCTCTAAGCCGACGACCCAACACCGTGATGAGTTCTTTATGATATTAATAATTGCCCTTTCAGGGTTATCTTTTAATATACATGTAACAACTTTGTCAATCGACATGACACAATGAACAAATGAATTATGACTGTTTAGCATATTGATCAAAATCTTCATACTATTTTTCAGAGCACATCTCCAAGAGAAATTCCTATCAGACCTTCGTAAAGCGCGTGAGAGCTACTCTGGCTCGGAACTGGCCAGTGTACTCCACGCCATGCGACGTCGACTAGACGACCCTGCCGTACTGTCCGGAGACACAATATTGAACATGCTTATATCCTTTCGGGAAATACAAGATTACGACGCGATAGTACAGGTCGTTGACGATTTGAAGACCATCATGAACAGAAAGAACTATGTCAACATGCCCATTATACGTTTTCTTTATGTATTTGCTATGAACAGGTATATTAATTTATTTTTAAGAATTATTAGTATATTATTAGGTTTTATTGTGTTTCATTTGTAGATAGCTTTTCATAGACGTCACATTCTGTATATATTATTATTAATAACAATTTATTCATCGTACAAAAAGGGTTCATTTGTGTTAGTACTTATGAAAAAAAATTCTTAATCATTCTTATAAGCGAATGTTATAGTTCTGAAAAAATAAGAGGAAATGTAGTCTATACATAGACTATTTACATCCCGCTTTTGATGTCGCTATATTGGCCAATATAGTCGCAGTCCGTTCTGTGGGCGATCATTTGCAGTATACTGTTGGAACTGTCCCTAGAGTAAACCCATGCCCAGTAGTGGGATCGAATGTATTTCGCTGTTTAAACTGTTGCCGCGATAATTTACTCACGAATCTTATATGACATAATAGTAGACTAGATTTTAGTTCTTGCCTGTATGTAAACATTGTGATACGATAATCTTATGTCGATTATTGCTTACGATTTCTCGTCACGAGACGTCCGATACTCTCCATATAAATGGCCCTTAAAGCCAAAATATTGCTTTGTAAAAAAACAGTTTAAAGCAGCTTTAGCACAATAAATTTTAACATAATATATTTTGCTGCGAAAATATCTGATATATTGGTTCGATATGGGGGGGTCTACTCCCGTCCGTCATCCGTCCGAAACCAAACTAAGGGTCGTATTCTAGAACTCTACTCAATGCTCAAATCAGGATTTGAGTATGGTTTAAAGCACGCGAAATCATACTCAAGTACCTGCCATTAGGGTCGTATTTCCAGTGCTTGTGTTTCCATTGCAATCCTGACTTGAGCATTAAGTAGATTTCTAGAATACGACTCTAAGGGTCGTATTCCAGAACTGTACTCAATGCTCAAGTCAGGATTTGGGCAGACTTGAGTATGATTTCAAGCACTGGAAATACGACCCTAATGGCAAGGACTTGAATATGATTTTCAGTGCTCACTGCAACACTCAAGTCCTCACTTGAGCATTGAGTAGAGTTCTGGAATACGACCCTAAGTCCCACCAAATGAAATGACGCGTGATGTGAGTGGAGCTTCATACTTGACGTTGGCTTTTTAATTTGGTCGAGTGTTACTTATTTGATAGTAATTGTTTAGGACGGATGACGCATGTCGATAAAGTCGAGCGCTGTCTGAGAGGATAATTTACTTATTTTTTAGTAATGTTAATTTTACTGAATATCACGATGATGTACTATCATGATATTCAATAATTTTTTGTAAAATTGTACCACTAGTTTGTTATAATTATTAATACAAAAATGGAACACTTAAAACTTCCTTCGATCCGGTTGGATTCGAACCAGCGCCCTAGTTACAGTCTTTGTTTTTGATTTATAACGATCATTTGCCGTAGCGCCATCTGTGGGAAAACTATGAAAGTTTATTTTATTTTCAGACGAAATAAAGAAGGCGATCGAGAAAATGCGCTCAAAGTATGCGTAAAAGCGTTAGAAAAGAAAGAAAATCGATTTCCAGACATGTTGTGTCTTTGCGGGCGAGTCTACAAAGACAAATTCGTTGAATCAGGTCACACGGATATTGAAAGTTTAAATAACGCTATTTATTGGTACAGGCAGGGTTTTGAAGTACAGCCCAATGAGTACGCTGGCATTAATTTAGCGACACTGTTAGTGATTGCGGGCAATGATTTCAAGAGTTCACAGGAGTTGCAACATATCGGTAAGGAAATATTTTAATGATTTCGGTCATTTTAATTTTAAATGCAATGTCAAATGCATTTTGGGTAAATTTTGCAGTACGGTGGACTAACAGTTTTGTTATTGGACCGTTAGTATGTATAGAAATTATTTGAAAGAAAACTGTGTTCACTGTTTCTTTGGTATTCACAGAAAAGGAGTTGAGGTCGCGTCATTTCATTGCACGATTTAGAAAAACGACTCTTGTAATTATACAATTAAGTAACTTTACAGTAATTAACTAACAATAAAATTCTTTACAAAAAGTTAATTTGAAATTTACCATGAGCTATTCGGCGAAGGAAACATCGTGATGAAATCTGCATGTCGAAGAAGGTTCACAATTCTCGGAAACCATGTGAAGTCCCCAACCCCATGGGTCAGTGTGACGGACTATGGCCTAAACCCTCGCCTGAGAGAAGACCCGATCCCAGCAGTGAGACGTATAAATGGGTTGATGATGATGAGATTTTTTTTTATTTACGCATGTCTGTAAACGTACAAAAAAACTTTATTCACACTTTCTTATATATTCAGATAAAAAGGAAAAAACGTGCTTCCACTTCTAGGCATAATCTCTTTCAGGCAACCTTGACCCGTTAAACTTAATTAAAATAGACAGTGGGTACAATAAATAGTCCCCAACCCTATTGGGTTATATGGGTATATTATATACATCCGGACACATAAATCCAGCCACCCATTTTTTTTTTTTTGACGGGGGAAATCTTTATGGGTACCCCTGAGCCCAGGGAGACTCAGGGGTTATGTGAGGACTCTCCCTCCAGACTGGAGGGCCTACCCCACTAAAACCCCCCCGGGTTTCCCTCTCGCCGGTTGAGTCGGCGCCGTGGGATCAGTGAACATTCACCACGACGCCGCCCGGAAATCCAGCCACCCTGCAATTTCAGTGTTAAGCCCGAAGCTTATAAAATGTGTCATCGAATGGTCATTGGTCAAAAACTGTTAAGCGATTTTGAAATTGGTATCCTAAATGTCATTTCCAGAAAATAATGTCATTGTTGAAAATTTTAATTTGTAAAACTGGGGCAAACTTCTAATGATAACAATATTTTTGCATTCCAGCTCTTTAATAATATAATTATAACTTTTTTATTAAAAAAAATCGACCCATAAAGTTTGTGGAATTACATCTGTTTGCCAAGTTTTATTCAAATTAGTTAACGGAAAGTGGGATGAAATCCAAAAAACCGGATTCATCCTCTAATTTGTCACTCTTAGAAGTGAAACGTTTTCTTCAAATTTAAATGGGAGCACTAGTGACGTACCCTTTTCCAACAAAAAAATCATCTAATTTTTTGAAAATTCACAAAAAACAATGTCAAATTGAGAACCTCCTTCTTTCTTTGAAACCTGTTAAAAAGTAATACATATGCAAATAAAAAAAATCAATTAAAAATAAGTTAATTGTTTCAGGACGGGTTCTCAACCACTTAATCGGCAAGAAAGGCAGTCTCTCTTCTCTCAAAGAGTACTGGGACGTTGCTACGTTCTTCGAAATCTCTGTACTCGCTCAAGATTACGTAAAAGCTATACAAGCAGCCGAATGCATGTTCAAGTTGAAACCGCCGAATTGGTACCTCAAATCTACTATCGGAAACATTGAGCTTATTGACAGGTAACTATGGCTTTCTATATTATCATATTACCAAATATCTTGTTAAAAGATTTCCGCTACTTTCATTTTGTTAATTATGACAAATATAATCCTTTACTTATACACATCTTTTTACATACATTAAACATCTTTTTTTATACGAGGGACGACGAGGTGACGAAGGCTACTACTCGAGGTCTTATAAAAAAAAACCAAAAAGATTTAAATGTAATTAAGACGCAGAGAAGACACTTAATCTAACTACAAGTGAAATTACGTTCATTCTAAAAACAATGTCGTTTACACGAGGTTTCCAAAATTGCTGATTCGTCGTACTGCATGTTCAAAATTGTATTGAAAGTTCTTATTACTACGCGTAGCTCAGTTGGGAGAGCGTCTGGACGGTATGTTGGAGGCTCTGGTTCGAATACAGCCGGATCGAAGGAATTTTTCTTAGTGTTCGATCTATGTATTAATAATTAAGTACTTATTACTATGTAACATTCATGTAGGGCTTGTCCGTGTGACAAGGTATATAATACATAAAATAATTACGGAGGCGGTGCTTACATTTCACCTATAAGCCTCTTGGCACGCTTGTCGAATGAATTCAAGGTGGTCGGTTGGTATGTAGCATAGCCATCCGATAGGTGGCAGCAGTAGCACTCCGTGCACGATGTGCTTGGTACAGCTGAAGCAGCTGTCCCGGTGTGAACCCTATACACTGGCTGATCTGGGGTCGGAACTGAACTTAGAAGGTTCCTGTGCACGCACAAGTTATAGTGCCCTTCTCGTATACGCTAAGGGTCGGTAGGCAGGGTCACTGTAATCGAAACTAATGTAGAAAGATATGGGGCTGTCCCGGTATGAAGTAGCCTTGCTAACAAGTGCAGTTCAATCCTTAGAGGAGATCCGTGGATAGCAGTTAGGATAGTACAAGCCTTTTCGACTGTGTAATCGTTTTGAAGTATTATTTATAAATAGTATTTGTTTGTTCTTAAACAGATTTAGAAAGAAGAATGAAGAGACGTCACCCGAACAACAGGTATTCTCATTCTGGATGGAGTTTTTCGTGGAAGCAACAAAGAGTAGCTGCGAAAACGTCATTCGATTTCCTGTAAGTTACTGGTTTTCTTTGACACCCACAAGCCGACACCAGATGTTATAGTAACCAGGAATAACACGACATAGACCTGTATTTAATGGCCAAAAATTAAACCTTCGATAAAAATATGGCTGATTTGTAAAAGTTTCATATTGTTTAATTTTTCAGGTACTAATATTAGAAACAACGAAAGTATTCATGCCGTCGTACGTGAACGTGAACATGGGTGCCGAGGAGAAGTCTGTAGAGATATTGAACTTGTGTCTCGACTGTATCCGCGGAGACTGCCGGCAGGTGCATCGGTGGCTCTTCACTTCGGACATGATTCGGACTTACAGGTCTCACTTCAATGTTTTCTTTTGAAATTTACTTTTTAGTTTCACAGTGATGGGCCGTCAATACAATTGTCTTCATTCGTCTCTATTTTGCGCTCTTGTGAACCAAGTGATTCGGGCCCATGCACAATGACGCGAATGAACTTAACTATAAATGCTGAAAGAAAAACCTTGTTTAGGTACTTAGTTTGATTCAAAATTGTTCATTGTATGTTATGATGTATGCCGCGAATGGACTTAACTTTAAATGCTGAAAGAAAAACTTTGTTTACTTAGCTTGATTCAAAATTGTGCGTTATGAATAATTAGTTTTCATTTAAATTGTACGTTATGTCCAATATTTATATTATTTATATTTATTCGATATTCGGCTTGTTCGGCCTAGTTTTTGCTATACGGCTGAATGTAAACTAAAAACACAGTACACACTTATTATATCGTTATTACGTCTTAATAACTACTTGTTGCAAGCCAAAATAAAATTAAGTTTTTCAAAGTTAATCACACTGAAGTGAAATAATTACTTTCTTTATTAAGTCCTAAATATTTATTATGAATTTGAAAATTAAAGTACATTTTTTGTTTCATTGTACAAAATAATTTATCGTAACTGGAGTTAATAAGTGGTGATTTTCGTGTCAATTTTCGTACGTAAGTTAATCGGGCCGAATAACTTTTCCAATTATTCTGTGAAATGTCGAATATACTATTCATTGCTACACGATTATTAAGTATTTATTACGAAAGTACAGAAGTGACACAGTTATTAGAAAAAATATAGTTGCTTGGTATCCACCACAAAGCATATGCAATGCAAGCAGTCTTCTTTACAAATTGCTATTTGCAATACAATAGTCATATTATAATATGTTTATTTTCAGTTTATACAAACGCGACGAACGTTGCTTATTCCTGTACGTGAGTGAGAATTCGGACGATTTCCAAATATTCCTTCCGTCTCAACAGTGCCGGCAACGCCTTCACGATTTGTTAGGAGAACTGACTGCTGATCATGAAAAGGTCACTGATTTGGATACAAGTGTTATGCAAGATCAGCTTAAGGTATTTTTTCTTTTCATATAAATATTTTGTAATAACGTCGATTCTACCAAACGAACAAAAAACAATTCTGAACTCAGTGTACAGAACTCTTTGAAATTTATTTTAGAGATGTCTATGTCGAGGTCTAAGGTTTTCGCGATTGTTATACATATGAAATGAAACAATTTTTTTCGAATCTAAATTGTGTGTATTTGTTTTTTTCCAACAAATCGACGTTTCTGGACCTTTACATGCCCTACGCTGATTGCGCGATACTATACGCGATTTAGATCCGAAAAAAAAAAATACTTCATTGCCTTTTTTTTAGAGACGTCTAATTATATAATATAAAATGAAGTCGTTTATTATATTACTTAATATAAAATGAGATTTGTCTCAGTTAAAATCAATAGTCAATCGCATTGATCAAATTCAGAAGAATAAAATCGTAGAAATTTCAAAATATTCCTGTCAGTTCTTTAAATATGCCACACACTAAAGTTAGTACCAAAAATTTTTATTTTCCCAGTTCGAATACGAATACGACGATTGCAACAAACGAGTTGTGCTAGGTAAAGGCACATACGGCGTTGTGTACGCTGCGAGAGACCTTAACACCCAAGTGAGGATTGCTGTGAAAGAAATCCCAGAGAAAAACTTAGGCGATGTACAACCGTTACACGAGGAGATATTGTTGCATTCGCAATTGAGGCATCGTAATATTGTGCAGGTAAAAACCAAAACACAAAAATGTAACTCACAGAAGTTCGAGTATTAAGATCTGTTCAATCAGTATTTCCCAGGATGATTTCGAATATAATTATACTCGGTTCAATTTATACACCGTTTAGCAGCTTTGTGCACCTTAACTGCCCCTCACCTCATGACTCCGTAATAATTTGTAAGGTTACCTGGAAGAGGTCGCTGTCTAGCGATAAGACCGATTGTACCTTTAAGTATTTTTTTGTATTGTCACTGTTTTATTTGTATTCTATTCTATACCAGCAGTTATTTATCCCGTATCTTTACGATCTTAATGACCGGCGCAGTATGTCTTCTTCCATTAATTTTTATCAGCCTTAACTTCTAACAGTTGAGCGTATTGAGCAGGAATATGCTAAAATAAAGCGGCCCAATTAGTTCGCGTCAGTTAAGTATCACATCCTGAACACCATGTTCACCCTCGTATCATTCTATTTCCAGTACCTGGGCTCCATATCAGAAGGCAACTACTTCAAGATCTTCATGGAGCAAGTGCCGGGAGGTTCCCTCTCGGCTCTTCTACGGTCTAAGTGGGGGCCGCTTAAAGAAAACGAAGCTACTATCTCTTATTACACCAAGCAGATCCTTGAAGGTGCGCTATGACGTTATATTTTCATATGCGGTATATTTGTGAATATCCAGATATACTATAACCAAAGTAGGTGATTTGCATTGCCATAAAGTAATATAATTATTATATATATTAACATTTTAGCGTCACTTTAACTATCGATTGTTATATTTTTAAAAGTCAGCCCTTTTCAATACCATTGTCATAGCTTCTCTTGTCATACTTTCTCGAAACACGATAGTATTTTAAGTTATCGCTTTTAGCGGGTAGTTTAGCAAAAAACCACCTGGTGGCTTGAATATTCTGTCGTTCCGGCTGTTTAATCCTAATTTTGCTAATAAATTAATAACGCACACATTCATAGCCCCGCACTGGGGAAACCCTGTGTTGCGGGTGTCATGGACACACACATCAACAACCACAAATTGCACCCAAACTCACGGTAGAAATAAATGTTGGTCATACAAATATTTCTCCCGGCCCGGAAATCGAAGACGCGACCTTTGCGTGGCAGACCAGCTTGGTAATCGTTTGGCCACGGAGTCAACTAAATCATTTCGCCGTCTCAGAGTGAAAACCTCGGATAGATTGATTTTACTGATTTTTGTTGGAGAAAAATTTATAAACTTCTTGCTCACATATATCATTAAAGTAATATAGTATCTGTAAGAGATATAATTACATTAATTCTAATGCTAACTACCAACATTATTGCGTTTGCTACATTTTACACTACGTTTTTGTCTTTATCTCTGTGTTTTTATCTCCGTCCTGAAAAATTACATAGAAATCACATACGAGGTATTCACTCTATGACGACGATTTCTCAATCAATCAAATGTTATTATTATTGATACAAAAATACTTCTATTATAAATAATACGTACCTTTATAGCTAGCAGAGACTGACAAAAAAAAAACTATATATATTTGACTACTCTATCATGGAATTTACGACGTTAACTGGCTGTACCGTAACTGTGTCAATCCATACACATCCTGCTTCGGGGCACGATTCTCCTGTAAGGAAACTTTTGCTAACAAATTTAACTGTGATGAATTCAATTGTATTTCTACAGGCCTAAAGTACCTGCACGACCAAAAAATCGTACATCGTGACATAAAAGGCGACAACGTACTTGTTAACACGTACAGTGGGGTCGTCAAGATATCCGACTTCGGTACCTCAAAGCGTTTGGCTGGATTGTGTCCATCGACTGAGACTTTCGCGGGCACACTGCAATACATGGCGCCGGAGGTCATTGATAAAGGACAAAGAGGATATGGGGCACCGGTAAGAATCCTTTTCGATAACAATTATCGTTGGACGGACACGTAAAACATGCACAAAACTTTTTTATTCTTGTAAAACTTGAAAACCTGTGAATATATATAAATAAATGAGTACGTTATTTATTTATATGAATTCACAGGTGTTCGTTGTTTTAAAAAACTTACAATGATGTAATGTTCCCTTTATAGGCTGATATCTGGTCTCTTGGGTGCACTGTTGTAGAGATGGCTACAGGGAATCCACCATTCATCGAGTTGGGGTCTCCTCAAGCAGCTCTCTTTAAGGTAAAATCTTATTCATTTATTTAATGTTTATTGCATAGGAAAAAAACACACAAATCACAATTAATAAAAGGAAAATACTAACAAAAGGTTCTGCTTATTTCGAAAATAAATTTATTCCTGCAGACCTAAATTCAAAATAAAATAACGGACTTACGTGCACAACAAAAGAAAAGTTATGAAATACAAAAATAATATAATCACATTAAAATATAAAGTTAGATAAAAACATATTTCATAATATAATCATTCAGATATGTATAGAATAGTGGATCTATAATGGTCCTTAACTCACATTTTGAAATTAGTTAACGGTGTAGACTTTCGTGAACAGGAATAAGAAATGCGTGCCGAAGTTTGACCGCATGAACAGTCTTCTACAATGTAAATCGTTAGATTCATGATAGGGCTGTGACATTTTTTTAAATTGCTATTGCTGCATCTGCAAGGCAATCGTCACTTATACAGTCTAGTTCATAATATTTGATAATAAATAAAATGCCGTATATTGCACAATAACAACTCAAAACAGTTATGTAAATATGCCAGAATAAGCTAATATGCTACTGGCCGCCTTATTTGCTAAATAGCACATAAGGCCGCCTGTTGCATGTTATTTTTTCTGAACACTTTGAGTAAAATTAAGAGACAGAGATTACACATATTGAACATATATATATATAGATACAGATAAAAAAATGTTAGTGAATGTAATAATTACATAAGTAATAAATATGTTTGAGAATTTCGTTTATTATTACACGGTATACATTAAACTGTTTAACTTACAAAATGACGGAATGAAATGGCGCCTGGTGTCTAATGCTAAAAAGCGAAGTATAATTAGCGTATTTAAGATAGTTTTTTAGCGCTTATAACTATGAACTATTATAGGTGGGCTACTACAAAATGCACCCAGAGATTCCGAGCGAGTTATCTCAGAAAGCGAAAAATTTCATATTGCGTTGCTTCATACCGGAACCGGAGCAACGAGCCTCGGCAGCTGAATTACTCGAAGATCCTTTCCTTTGCGAGTTAGTATTGATTTTATATCCACCGATTTTGGCAGTTAATGCCTCATTAAAATGCCATTCCAAGGACCTTTTTTTCTATACATTTAAAGTTATAAGTGAATTTAAATTTAAACGTAACGTCCCTAAGCCTATTTTTGAAGACAATGTTATTTTGAAATCTTTCTCATATCGACCCCTCCGACGTAAAGTATCGTATGTCGAAATTGCCAAGTTTACAGGGAAGCGTTTTAAAGTTCTGAATTCACTGAAACGAACATAACACGTGACTTTAGCATTTCTCAGTTTTATTCGGCAAAGCTCATTACTCACATAGAGTATTATAAAATCCTAGATATCGGTTAGATGATCTATGGTGATCACTCTTTCAGTGAATTCAGAACTTTAAAACGCTCCCCTGTAAACTTGGCAATTTCGACATACAATACTTTACGTAGGAGGGGTCGATATATTCAAGGAAGAGCGCTGATGTCTGAAGTGCAGATAATTACTTATCTAGCTCTGACACAGATGTCTTGCCCTAAATGGATTGTTGCAAGCTTAACAATGTTAACGTCATATTTTTCTGTAAGAAATTACTGAAATAAATAAAGAATTATTACTATTATGCAGGTCGCGGACTACACACGTTTTCCTATAGATGTGAAATTTTTTAACATGCAAGTTTCATCATGTCTTCCTGCAACGTTTATGTTACTTGAAAATTACAGTCATAGATACATGCCTCCACAAGGATTTAAACCGTCGACTTCTACATTGAGAAGCTACTGTTCTACACTAGACTACCAGCGTTCTATGTTGTCTTTACGTTCTAAAAACTATCTAATTTTTTTTTATTATAACTCTTTCTTTATTATCTATAGAAAAAAGAAGTCGACCAACCGCCTTGGAGGCACCGTGGACTACAGTCGCAGCATCTCCGTACCAGCCGACAAGGCTCGTCTAAACACAACACAGAAGAAAATATCCGAACCTTGCATGCCCGGAGCTCTACCCAGTTCGCCAGAAATCGAGTTGGTAGTTTTGTACATACACTAATAGACGACCGTGTGTGTGTTGATTTCATTTTTAAGGAGCCTAAAAAGGCCAAACTACTTTGTTAGGACTGCGTATTACAAAACAATAAAGGTTTCTTTTACGATTATTATTTGATAATAGTAGAAATCATGGTGTAAATTATCATAGTTTATTAGTAATATCAACAAGATAAGTTTTAACTACTATAGGTTACGTTTTAACTACTGTACGGAGGCCATTGAGCATTGGCTAGTTTTATACAGGAGCACTACTGAGCACAGGGTGACCTAATGAATGCCACTCACCAGTGACGCATATATATTAACATCGACAAAATATTAGAACATTTAAAACAGTCTGTAAGATTGAAAATTTATGCACGAGTAGTTCTCTCCCAAAAAAACGAAACCAACGTACACACAGTTTTCAATCGTATTACAAAACACTAGTTGCTTAGAGTTACGAGTACGTAAAAGTTAAACGCATGTTGTTTGTGAAACTTTTTACTTTTTGTTCGCGTATTTTATACGCAACCGTAATATGCATGGCTTATCATAATGATTTTATTCGGAAATTATTAGAACTATTGTTGCACAACTATCGATAGTGAAACCTGATTTTCACGATCTTGAAAATTAATAATAGGCTATCGACTTACTGTTAGGATTACAGGGTGATTATACGTAGTATACAATTTGTGTAAGCGCTTAAATTTGTTCAATATGGCTATTAACAACTTTGTTAAGCATTTCGAAATGTACCCTATATGTTTAATCCATGTCAATTTACGAGTTTTAGTTAAAACTTTTCCGTTTTTACGATATGATTCGTTACAAACATCAATTGAAATTATCTATTTATAATATTAGAACAATTATGATTTTGAATTATGATGTTTTAGCGACACGGTTATCACTTATCGAGATCTATAGATAGATTTCAATTATTGCTGTGCAACACTACTTAGATTTTTGTCCACATAGTGTGACGTTTGTCATGCCATCGACATCCATAATGTGGTGACTGGAAGCTTCTGTCAGTAAAGTGATTTGGCTACACTATTACTTACTTTGGTTTAATAAGTACACACAATAATGTCCATTCTTTTGCGTTAATTTTTGAAATATAAAGTAATTTGACAGGTAGTGAAGAGCTGTACAAAGGCTGCATTTTGGATACAAGTCAACTGCAAAAGTTACTGGTAACGTAATGCAGTCTTGACGTTTTAAATACTGTTGTAAAGGATTTTTAACTTGACAATCTAGTTTGATTGGAGAAAAGTAAACACTAAAGAATAGACGTTGTCGATCATATATCTAGATATTCTCAATCAGAAGTCTAACATACCCAATTTAGTTATGGTTAGCAGTTTTGGTCATTCATATGAATTCATTATGTCCCAATAATGAAACTTCTCAATCAGAGAAGTCAATGATACGTTTTTGATTAAGATATTGTAAACAGAGGCATGAATTGGTGCAAGTCATGGTTTTTGTTTAACACTTAATTGTAAGAGTGTGGTGTTGACACACCCTTGTGGGACGCTTGAATGAAAGTCGAAAATGGAAAATATTTCATTACGAGACTAATAAAAAACGTTCGTACAATTGAATGATATCTCTGCCACGCTATGGACAAATTTTTGTTCGTGTAAAATAAACATTTTAAACATAACAAAATGTTGTTAACTCTTGATAACATTTGTCGATTGCTTTGCACCTAAGCCTGTGTTTGTTTACCCCTTGTTAGGGTGAAAACGATCCGGTCTAACCCGACCATCACTAGGACGGCCTCGTCGATGCTCTCACCGATACTGATTTGTCCACCGGACTTGTCGAATAGCAGGTAACCATTTTGTACCATCACACCACTCACTCCAACACTTTTCATAGAATACTATGTTTTGACACAAATTGATAGGTTTTGTAATTGTAAAAAGTGACATTTGTTAATTCGTGCATGAGACAGTAGCAATCCAAAATGACGTCAGCAACATCAAATAGAGAATAAAAAAATATCAATTCTAAATAACATAATTAGTTTTAAATTCTATACACAACGTCAATTAAAGCTTTATATTTTTATGTTAGCTTTAACTAGTAAAATACCGCCGGTAATTTTAAAACAGTTTGGTGCACAATTAAAGTGCTATAAATGTAGTATTCTATGGGAACAAAGTCGAAATACACCTTCAGCACTACGCACTCAATTAGTTTGCACTAGATTACTTATCACAGTACATCCCATAACACTACTGTTTGTCATTATAGACCAGTTTAGCTTAATAATTATCTACCTGTTGTAAAGTTGCGAACTACCCTTACTAACGCTTTTTCAATATTCCATCTAACATCAAATTGGGAAGATGGTCTCGGATTGAGTTCCAAAATCACGTTTACCCTTATGAGACAGAAGATGAAACTAATAATAATTTGTAAGTATTTATAGATACCATTGCTTACTATCCTATCAAAATGTCAATGTTGGTTTCGTACCTACTGTATTATGATATTAAAAACTAATTCGTTTAACAGCTTGGTATATGTTAATGATATTAATTTTTAAGTAATACTTTTTCCATTTACTGTCCGCAAATAGTAACCTGTCTTTTTTTTTAAATACTGTTGTAATTGGCTTTATTTGAATTACTATTGTACATCAAATAAAATATAATTTAATATTATTTTGTTAACAGTACGATGCCTAATACTCCTTCGACAGAAGAAATGGATAACGGTGATTCAGTTTTAAACAGAAGGAGTTCTTCTGGTGGTTTACTGTCTCCAGAGGTAAGTTTTGTCCTTTGAGGTTTTGACTCAAAATTTGCGACCCGTGGGTACACTATATTATTTCAGTTAGAGCAGAATGGGTCTATGACATAGAGACTAAAATTGCTTGAGATCTATAATCATGGAACTCCTGAAACTACGTATAGGTTCACCTTCTTCACAGAAGCTTAACTTCTGTAATACAAGAATAAATAGATTTTTTCAGTGTCGGTCTTTCACTGGAATTCAGACGAGGCAATTATATTATTTTCTGAACCTTCAGGTGGACATGCCAAACGTGCCTCGCTCGTCCATAGACGTGGAACATGATGGTTTCTATCTACTGAAGAAAGATTCACAGCGACGCATCACACTCTCCCGTGTGCTGGAGCAGGACTGCGAAAAAATATGCTCTAAATGGATGCTCACCATACAGCAGGATTTCGGAAACACTGTCTTGACCATGGTAAGATGCATCTTCTGTTTCTCTGATAATCATAATGTAACCGCGTAACTAAGCTTTTGTCAACTTTGGATAAACTAGACAAAGGCGTCTCACGAAATCAAGAACGCATTCAGACGTCTGATGGACCTGAAGCGACACTGTAGCGCTTCTGGCATGTTTATGCAAGCCAAGTTTCTGCGCCGTTGTGAGACGTTCGTACAGCTTCTGTTATGGAAAGGCTTGAACGGACTACCAATTGTTTAATGCTGGAACAAATTCCAGATTGACGAATTAGTCTTTTTTTTAATTAAATTCCTGATAATAATAGTAGTCCAATAATCACAAAAAAATAAATGATTGCTAGTAGTCCTTAAATAATTGAATGTATTGAGCAAAACTACAATTGATTAAGCTCATTTTACGAAATAAAATTTACAGTTACGTCCTTGAAATTGAATAAAAAGCAATTTCTCTTTACATGCAAACATCCGTTGTTTATAAAATTTACACGAAAAAATAGATAATTTCAAACAGAATGTATTGTTTACTTTTTTTTAACTTGTATAGTCCATAAGTTAAGTGTTATTATTTGAAAAAAATCATTCCTTCCCACTCGCGAGGTCTGCGCAGTACTATGCTCTGTCGTCTTTCAGGCTTCGCGACGGGTGGACTGCGCGTGTGTTTTTGAGCGGCTTTATGCCACAAAAAGTTGTTGTTTTTAATTAATTTTACTTGTGTTTGTGTTAAATTTAATTTGTATATATATATATATACACATTTGACTCGGTTTTTCTATTTTAGATTTTATAAATTAGTTATTTCGTTACATTTACATTGCATCTTTTGTAATAACTAACAAAGACTAAACAATATAGGTATGCCGAAATAAAAAGTAAATCTAAGGTGAAGTATGGAATTTGTACAATATACATGCAAATAATATGGCACTGGATGAGAAGGTTTAGGTGTTATCGAAGAGAAGGCCTAGGTGTTCTGGGTAGTGCCGCGGAGTGAATTCCGTTGCCCTTGGTCTCGGGTTTGATTCCCGGTAGAACAATTTTTTTATATAAACTTCCTAAACTTGGATCTGGTCTGGGTTTCTGGTAATGTATATGTTTGAATTCACTTTCTCTGGCACTCATAAGGAGTACAGAGAGTTCCCTAGTTTGAGACCAGGTGGTTGGCAACAGAACAGACAAAAGTACATTTCCCAAATTGGTTCTACTGGCAATCGAACCCACGACCAAGAGTTACGGAATACACTCCGCGGCACTACCTAGAACACCTAGGCCAAAACCATTTTAGAAAAGTTCATTTCCCAAATTGGTTCTACCGGGAATCGAACCCGGGACCAAGAGTTACGGAATACACTCCGCGTCACTACCCAGAACACCTAGGCCAAAACTGTTTTAGAAAAGTTCATTTCCCAAATTGGTTTTACCGGGAATCGAACCCGGGACCAAGGGTTACGGAATACACTCCGCGGCACTACCCAGAACACCTAGCCCAAAACCATTTCAGGAATGTTAATTTCCCAAATTGGTTCTACCGGGAATCGAACCCGGGACCAAGAGTTACGGAGTACACTCCGCGGTACTACCCAGAACACCTAGGCCAAAACCATTTCCCAAATTGGTTCTACCGGGAATCGAACCCGCGACCAAGCGTTACGGAATACTCTACGCGGCTCTACCCAGAACACCTAGGCCAAAACTTCCCAAATCAGAAAATTCATTTCCCTAATTGGTGCTGCTGGAAATCGAACCCGGAACCTTCTCATGCGTGCTTTATTGCGCACACACAGCATATTCCCGTGAGAAGAAATATTCACTTTATTTGACACATGTGAAGTTCTATATTGTATTGCTATTTCCAAAGCCCTAAGCAGTCCGATGTCGCTCAGCCAATGTTTGCCTTTCAAAGAAATATACCTTATTGTTGAGAAGCCTAGTCAAGCTGGTGACGTCAGGCTGCGCCGCGCTGCACCGCGGGACACAAAGACATACCCACTTTATTTAGTAGAACTGAAACTATTGTATATTCAATTCTAGCGCTGAAAAGATTAATGTGCTCTCTAATAAAATCGCATCATTTAGTGGCCATGCGAATGAAATAAGTCAACTTGCCCATAATTTGGTGTTGGATTCATCTGTTGCGATTATGGCGCAAATAAATGAGCACTTTCAGAAGCAGGAAATTGCTATTAAAAAAATTGCAGGCGTTCAATCTGCAATACTAGCAAAACTTAACAATGATAGCGACATTGAAAGGAAATTCATTGGGACCGTTACCAACAAAACCAAAACGTCTAGCACACCTCATTCTAATTCTACGAAATTGCACAGCATCGCTGCAACTAAATCAAAAACTACAAAAAAGAGTGTGCAGAAGGAAAATGCTACTACTGAGTCGATCCCTAGTATTCTACAAATCGGTTCTATATCACCACGTCCTTCATTGCCTGCACAGCCCCCTAAGCCAGTGACGAACCATCACACATTGAAACAGAATCAGGATGACCAAAAGGACGAGTGGACTAAAGTGGAGCGTAGGCGTACCCGCGGCTCATTGTCTGTGGTTTTGGGGGGTACTGCCGCTCCCGGAGCCACTACATTGTGTGCTTCGGAAAAGAAAAGAGCAGGTGAGAAATCACTTGAACTTTGTGTGCGAAAACGACGTCTGTTTGGTGGAAGCACTTAAAACCCGTGGCAATTATGCGTCGTTCAAACTTGTGGTGCCAACAAAATTTGTCGAACTAATAATGTTACCAGGAGTTTGGGCCGAGGGAATCTGCATCAAACCCTGGCGGCAGAACTTTCGTGCCCATCAAGACAGGAAACAATAAGCGCAAAACGTGTAAAAACTTAAAATGTTACTACCAAAATGTTCGTGGATTGCGTTCTAAGACTTCTGTGTTTTATAATAGTGTCACACAATGTAATTACGACCTAATTGCTGTAACTGAAACCTTTTTCACAAGCTCTGTTTTTGACGGGGAACTCTTTCCAGCCAGCTATGTAGTTGTGCGTCGCGATCGCACAGGGGATGCTGGCTGGGGTGGGGTTCTCCTGGCTGTACGTGATTGTTTCTCAATACGACTTTTTACTAATATTGACGGACTGACAGATGACATGGAACTCATAATTGCAATAATTACTTGGAAAAATTTTTGTGTTGTGTTGTATATTTACCGCCAAATTACAACTCTGAGAAATATCTGAGCGTCTTGACATGCATTGAAAATGCAATCTGTTTATTTCCTGACACGAATGTAATCGTTTTAGGAGATTTCAATTTAAATTCCTGTAGCTCACTAGTCAACACTCAATTTGACTGTTTCTGTGATTTCTGTAAATTGAATCAGCATAATAACGTTCACAATCATTTTAATGGCGTATTAGATCTTGTACTAAGTAATACAGCATCCGACTGTGTGACCGTGACCATGGCAGTGGAGTCCTTTGTCCCTGCGGATAATTACCATCCCCCACTCGAAATAACAGTACGGTTTACACGAGGCAATGTCTTTGCGCTCCCTGTCCAGTACCCCGTGAATCGCCCAGGGTTTTGTCCTGACTGGCATTGGCGCGGGGCTGACTTAGAGGCGCTTTACGTCGCTTTGGGCCAGTTCGATTGGTCGGATCTGTTGACTACTATAGATGTAGATATTGCCACAGAAATATTTTATAATAATTTGTACGCGTGCTTTAATAATTATGTTCCTCAAAAAAATATATGTTCAAGATCTCGTAAAAAGTATGTGTATCCCAAATGGTACACGCCCGAAATAATACGTAATATCAAGAATAAATATTTTCATTTGAAAAGGTTTAAACGCAATAATGCAAATTTTAATAGAACAATGTTCAAATATTATAGATTTTATGTAAAATTTTTAGTTGACATTGCATACAGACAGCACATGCTATCAGTAGAAGTTGAAAATATAATTGACGATTAAATTTTAAATAAAAATATAAATTTTGGAAATATATTAAAGACAAGAAAGCACAGCGCCAACGAAATGAATCTTTTATGTACAACGGCGATCAGGTCTCAGGGCGGGCGGCTGCGGATGCCTTTGCTCATTATTTCAACTCTGTCTTCTTAACTGGAATGCCAAGGCTAGATAAACACAAATTATCGTACATATATTATTAATAATTCCCTGGCTGCGACTGTGTTTCCAAGCACATACAACCTGAGTATCTATAAGGTGCGACTGAAAAGGCATTTTCTGGGCAAACTCGTTCCATTGTAGATCCTATCTTTGCTCCAGAGCTAGGTAGTGCTCAAGAGCAAGTCCATTAAATTGAAAAAAAAAAAAATCAAATTACCATAACAATTTCAAAATATTTTTTCACTTTACAAAGTTCTTATGCACTTTTTAAGTTTAACTTCAACTTCGCAGTATGACAAACATTATAATGAATTGTTTATACAGTATGAAAGTCTCTAACAGTTTCTAATAATGAAACAACTTAATTTACCTAATTTAAATAATATTAAACTCCCACATAACTAAACAAGTCCGCAACATCCTTCACAATAGTCAACACGGCTTCCGCGTAGCTAGATCGACAAATACCAACCTCGTGTCTCTAGTTGATTATACATGCACTGAAATGGATTTGGGAGGACAAGTAGACGCCGCTTACGCGACCTTAAAAAGGCATTTGATGTTGTGGATAATGACATATTATTACAGAAACTGGCAGCTTCGGGCTTTACGCCCAAACTTCTGCAGTTTTTTGCGAGTTACTTGGGTGGGAGAAACCAGTATGTTAGAGTTAATGGTTATGAGTCTTTTAAATACTGTACAAGATCCGGAGTGAGTCAGGGAAGTACCCTGGGGCCAACGCTATTTTTACTCATGATTAATGAACTACCACACTATGTCCGATCCGCCAAATGTCTTCTATTCGCGGACGATTTAAAGCTCTTCACGGGGGTTAGTAAGGCGGCAGATGCTAAGGCACTCCAATGTGATATTGACGCCGTGTCCGAATGGAGTCGAGTCAATAGATTGCCACTAAATGAAAATAAGTGCAAAGTGATAACTTTTACGCGTAAACGATCACCCCTTTTTACTAGACATAGTTTAAATGACGCTCCTATGGATAGAGTTAATAACATTCGCGACCTAGGTTTAATATTAGATGACAAACTGGATTTTCATACTCACGTGACTGAAATGTGCAAGAAAGCTAGCAAAACCTTGGGTTTTATTATGAGAATTGCTTCACAATTCCAGAACAGTAGAGTAGCAAAGGTTTTGTATAATGCGTATGTCGGCAGTAAACTCGAATACGGCGCTATCATTTGGGATCCTCATGAAAATAAATATAACCTTATGGTGGAAAGGCTTCAACGTAAATTTGCTCGATGGTTACATAAGAGAACTTATGGGTACTATCCGTTTCTCTACCCCTCCTTATTTGTAACTGCTATGGTCGATTTAGAAACACTTGCATTTAGGCGAAAATGGATGCTAGTACTACACTACCTATCAATCGTTCATAATAAAATCGATAGTCCAGATATTCTCGAGAAATTTAGCATTCAGGTGCCCTCTCGCATTAGTTGGGATGAGGCTGGGATAGTGACGCCGCGTCGGCGGCTGCGCTTGCTGCAGCGGCCGGCAGTGGGCACCGTTCGCGCTGCGCATGCGCCCTCCGCGCGGGCACTCACGCTCATCGGAGATATGCTCGCTGACCACTATGACATCGACTTATTTGCTGATTCCTTTGGACAATTTCTTAGGAACGCGAACATATTTTTAAATAATTACTTTTTACGTGTAGGAAATTAGATACTAAGTAGGTTAAGGTTTTGACATTTGTAAGCTAAATTGTATCTATAATTTTATTTTATTTTAATTGTATCGCAATTCTATATCAATAATTTGTAATGTTGCCTAAGCTTGTGGGTGTTTTGGATACGCTCTGTGAGCCCACTCGCAATATTGATTAAATAAATAAATAAATAACAAGCGAGTTGTCGATTGATGGCGTATGAAATTGTTACTACTGCTTAGAGGTCAAATCGTCAAAGTCATTCGCGACTGTTCAAGCCTTAATGCGAGTGCTTTTTGCTCGCTTAACTGCCACGTCCAACCGATGATGATCAACCACTGGTTCTAAATTGCCACGTAGGTAGAGCTTGACTGAACAAACTTACTTTATTTTAATTAAATAATACAAAGATCGAACACTCAGAAAAAATTCCTTCTATCCGGCCGGATTCGAACCGACGTCTTCTAGCATACCGCGCCAGACGCTATACCAACTAAGCCACGGAACGAACCAGCGGACCTCACGAATGTTTCGTCGTGTTGTCGTGTCTTTGTATTTGGTTTTTCAACGACTTTTTAGTCGTTGCGCCATCTATGAGAAATCTATGAAAGTTTTATCACCTTTACAGCTACCGGCCCTGACGAGAGATGTCGCTATTCAGCTACCGGCCCTGGCGAAAGATGTCGCTATTCACAATATTTTAAATTTTTATTGAATATGAATTCAATGTTCCACTAGTTTAATATAATTATCAATACAATTTTTTTCTGAGTGTTCGATCTTTGTATTAATAATTATAATAAACTAGTGGAATAATTTCACAAAAAAATAATTCAATATCAATTCAATAAAAATTTAAAATTAGTTTATTTTTATTTATTTTTTATTTTTGTTCATTTGGCTTATTTTCAGTTTGACGTTTTAATTATTAATTTTTGCTAAAAGTGATGATGATGATGAATTTCCTACTACCATAGTAGGATTGAAATAAACGGGTGCACCATAGGAACCTCCTCTCACGACATACCATTCATTTCCGTGGACGTCTGGCGCATTCTGGGCAACAATCGGCACGACGTACCTTACGGCGACTGGCAAATCCTTTCATCACGATGGCAAACATTATAGTGTATGCCAACGATACGACAAGAAAAGATAAAAATAGCATAACCTATGAAATATCGACTGTAGACTGACAACCGTTACTATCTCAATTTTGACAACTTTACAGGTGAAGAAAGAACTTGTTTGCGTCATTCATGTAGCATCTGGTTACTATCTCAATTTTGATAACTTTACAGGTGAAGAAAAAACTTGTTTGCGTCATACATGTAGCATCTGGTTTATTAAATAAAAATATGTAGTTTTTAAGTATTTTTATTAAGCATGTTATTAAAAACAATGGAAAATCTTGCAACGCTGTGGAGTATGAAATTGTATAAAATGGTATTAAAAAGATGAAATCTTTAGAAAATTGAGATAGTGCCGGTTGCCCGGGTTGCATGCAATTTATGGAAATTTAAGGAATATTATGGAAATTTATTCATTTACGCAGGTTTCTTAAAAAAATAACACTTTACTTTTACAACCATTCTATAGAACTGTAATTCTCCATAAATATTTCTTTTTATATTACATATACAAGTAAATATGATTTGTAAATTTACTATTTTGAAAATGTTCTTTCAGCTCGGAAAGTTTCCCATTTCGGAATGTTTTTGGCTGCCCATCAGTAGTGACCAATAATAGGCGATCGATTTTGACGTCAGCAACTTTTGGAAGTGATTGATACACTATTTGCTCACTCACTATGTCTTCTTTGATCTTTGAAATAGGTGCTGTCTTGGTAAAAAAATTGATTAACAGAAAATAATTAAAAAAAAATTGTAGGGGCAACATAAAACACGATCATTCAAAGCGGTATCCGAGGGTAAAGATATTATAGCAATTTCTGTTTAGAAGAAACGGTAAGCGCCGAACTTACGCCGTTGAATTTTGGAAGGCGTGACTTTAGATGTTTCCTCTGCTGTCTGTCATTTTGCTATCAAATCTGTTAGTAGTAAATTGTTAAGATTTGTTGTCCTATCTCTCGAGATAAAACCTTATCGCCGAAACAGTTGTTCCAGCCTTGCGACGCGCACTAGTTTAGGCGTGGCCGCAATCATAAATATTTTCGTAAGTGTTTTTGTATCGTCATGTATTTTGTTTTGCTGTTCGAGAATTGAGCAGTTTGTGTAAAGCCCATTTACCAAAGCTTAGTGGACTTTTATTTAGCAACTGCTAATTCATTATTTTAACGTCTCCACGCTGCTAGTAAATAATTATGAAATACTAGCTCCGCTTTAGTATATAATGATACTATATAAATCTATCTGGTCTGTGATCAAATTTATCCACTTGTAATTTTACACTTGCAATGATTTATAATAGTTTACTTAATAAAGATTTCTCCTAAAAAAGGTGCTTTCAAAAGATAGCGATTGCAGTGAAGCCATAATCTAATGCAGAACCATTCTTTTAACTCATTCAGCAACCGATAGTATTTTGGTGTTTGGACATCTTGACGTCGCTTATTAGTAGCAACAACTTATTATTGTTTGTTGCATACACTTCTTTCACGCTCCGTTGTGGTAGATATTGAACTTGGGAATAAATCATCAATTCAGGAGATATACGTAGATTACAGTGTCTTCTTGTGCATTGGATTATAGAACTCTACCATTCCAACTCTTTTACAGTTAGGTTGTTGAAACACAGCTTGTCTACGCTTCATTATGGTAGACAATGGCCCTAAGTGGCTGTTAAATATACGGACCGAGCTGTGCCAACAAGTGAAATGCTTGCTTGTTAGCTTAGCACGGTTTTATTATTATAATATGCAACGGTGGTGAGCGCAACCACACATACATACATAACAGTGGCTTTACGTCGCTCAACGGGCTACGCGAAGATATATTTGTTTATATAAAGATTGAAATAGATTTTATTGCTATATTACAGAATCATCTGGAAACCCTTAGATGCGCTCTAAAAGCCTATATAACGGACCAAAATCGAAGCGTCATCGAACAAGCCATTACAAGTCTAAAGGAAGAACTAGACTTCGACGCTAAAGCGATAAATGAGTTGCATTCAGCAATTTATATGTTCCAAGAAGCTGTGAACGCGGTGTTGAGGATGCATAGTATTAAACCTCATTGGATGTTTGCGCTTGACAATCTTGTGAGGAATGCTGTACAAGCTGCTATTACTGTATTGTCTCCTGGTAAGTAAATCGTCATTTGTTTTACTTTTCTATTAACTCACGTTTTCCACAGTTGGACGTAGTCCTTCCCTATTTTTGTTATCTTCCCGTCCCTTACATCAGTAATGGACGCAATTACAATTTTCAGGATAACGAATTGTATTTAATTCATTATTCACTATTAAAATTGATAAATTACGAGATTACAATTTTGTTTTGTATTGCATGTACGTAGTTATTAAGTATTTAAAAGTCGCCCCAAAAGTAACGATGCTTATTTTATTGTGTGATGTGTTTAGTGCACTATTAGGACTTAATGTATTACGTCTTCGAAGGCTTTAAACTTTTACTAACAATGATTGCTTTCACCTTTAAATTAGATAAAGAATATATTTATAATTATATTTTTTCTTGTAGAATTAGGAGCGAACCTAGCCGGGCAAGACTCCCGTCGCGGCGGTGGCGATAGAGTGAACAGCTGCGGGGCGCAGGACAACGCCACGCCTTCCGCCTTGTCCACAGCCAATTCCACGCGGGATAATCAGCTGCACCAACTGCGACAGGAGAACCATAAGTAAGTTACGTAATAATAAACACATTCTTTATAGTTTATGTGCCTGAGTGGTTGTGTTCCTATTTGAATTCGAATGAATAAGGAGACAGTGCAAATTGTAAGTACGGGAGACTTAAGATCATACTACTTTTTAATAATACCAACTGACGGGTCGAATAAATCGTGCGCCTGATGTTAAGCGACACGTCTGTTCATAACAGTTGCAGCGCCACTCAAGAGCATTGAATCGCAGATATCTAAGGGATTTGCCAATACGCCTGTCACCCTGAGACATAAGTTGACAAGTCAATGTGACTGTAATTTCACCAGCACCCTTCGTATCCTTCAAAACTGGAACGCGGTAATGCTCACATTACTGCTTGGTGTCAGAAATAGCTTGGGTGGCAGTACTTCCCTGGATGAACCCCTTCACAAAGAGCTCTACCACTACTAAATCTTATAAAACTTATTAATGAATACTTATTTTAGTGCACTGCTTGCCTTTATTGTATGTGTATCTAAATGTAATAAATGTTATTATTATTATGTAAGTGTTAAATACATCCCTGTCATCTGTTACACCATCTGTCTATTTACTGGTTTATTACTATAAAATAAACAAAATGAACACCATTGTTTAAGATGAAAGTAACATGTGCATAGGTATTACGTCGTTCTAGCTGCTGGCGTAACGAATACGCCCCTTTAGACAAAATACGTCATAGGTATTTTTTATCTATTCTAGGCTTCATCAAGAATTGTTGGAGAGCTATCAGCAGTACCAAGGTTTGCTTAGACTGATGCTTGAAGAGCAGCGAACGCAAACGCAAATCTTACGAGAAATTATTGAAAAGAAGGAAAAGTACGTAACGTATCCAAATTATTGAAACTTTATTGCGGATTGCTTGTTCCTAACGACGATTGTGCCACCTCGCTTACAAGCCTGTCCACAAATTAGTTGCAATGATTGTTTTATTTTATGTCCTTCCCGTGAATGTTACTGACTTTTAGCAGTGATGTAAACGCGCATTCGTCAAAACGCGCGTTTGCATCGCTGCTTAAAATTGCGCGCGTATCTAAAGCTAGATACGCGCGATAGATATGCGAGGTAGGTACGCGATGCAGTAGCGACTGTATCGCTACTGCATCGCGTTTGCATCGCTGGTAAAAGTCACCGCGTGTTAACCGCTCTAAAATGTACATTTCTAGAACCGTATGGAATGTTAAAAAAAATGGAATAAACATGATTAAATAGACGCAATATTAATGTTAATGACACGACTATTTCATGTGTTGTACAGCAAAACGTTATATTAACTAAGTCTCTGTTTACGATTAGCACGTGTGCCGTTGATAAGGAGGTTTGATTCCCGGTACGATACAAATACAAAATACAAAACTAGTACAGGGAATTCCCTAATTTGAGACCAGGTAATGAGTATAGGTGCCTACAGATTTTCTCTCTATTATTGATTGTCACTGTTGCCTCTTAGCGATCAATAAATATCAGGGTTAAAATCGAACAACTTTGTAGGCACCTACGCCTAATTCAAATTTTGCCGTGTCGATCGCCAAAAAATAAGTTTTATATCGTTGTTTACACATTTACTCGTTTTGTTTGATTTCTCGTGTTGATCAACAAAATATCGAGCCAATTTATTTTACGACTGGAAAATTTTACTTAATTTTCGCTTTAGATTGGATTACACTATTCAATAGAATTTAATTATTTGCATTAAGCTGTCTCTCACACTCTCCTCGTTTAGTAAGTAATGTACCTTAGGGTGAAAAAGACAGAACGAAATCTACTTATAAACCTTATAAAACTATTGCTTGTAGGTCTCCAATCCCCGAAGAATTGGAAATGGTAAACCCCGATGTGCTAATCCCTCTCCGCGAGTGGGTGACGTCACGCGGCGTACCCGAGTCAGCAGCGCATGCGCTCGCATTGCACGAATTCACTCTGACAGACTTGTTTGAACACGCGCAGCGGGAAGATATTTCGCGGTTGAATCTCAAGTAAGTACACTATAACTTGACTGATGCAAGGTCTTCCTCAGCGAACGTAGGAGTAGTTAGAATATAGGGTGATGACACCAATGATCGACATTATGTGTGTCTTTAAATTTTAAATAACGATTTTGTTTTAAACATATCATCGGGCATAGTGCAAATCCGCGCATGTAGCATTGGTAAAAGGCGCGTATCTGAACAAAACCAAATTTTACTGGAGAGGGTTTTAACGTTATTACTTTGGTATTTCAATGGCTACGACTTTCATGTTGCACAGTAAGCATTAATTTATGTTTTCTATGGTGACTGATAACAATAGATTCCCGTATATCAGGCTATCTGGTTGCCACGACATATACGCGGATTTGTTTTGTCCACTAAATTCCTGAAATGGAAACTCATAATCCAATGCTAGTTACGCGTACTTGAACGCTATTCCCGACGAATGAATAGTGTTTAATTTACTTGAAAGATATAATCCTCAGGAAAGATTATACTGTGCTATGTTTCAAATGCTATTATAATTATTACTTAAAAAAAACCTGAACTACATTTTCTCTAAATCTCCAGTAGTGAACACCAAAAACACACTAATTTACTAACTAGTACTCTACATTCACCAATAATGAACACCCAGTAATTGACACTTACCAATAAGAAATGCGTTACTATGATAGAAAAACTCCTCTATCTATCTTATTGGATATGAGTTAAACAAAAGTATGTCTAACAGTGGTTGTTGTCGGTCACTTGTGCCACCACCTTACCGTGTCCATCCAATGAAAAAGCCATTAGCTCCGCTTGTAGACATTTGCGACACTTAGAAGGCATGCTTAATATAATTAGTGCGTCGCAAGCCGTAAGCTGCTTTTAATGACTAGTGGTCAAACCAAAATAGTTCATATTTTACGTTTACCTAAAATTCAAGTAATAAACATGGAGTGAGATATTTATTTTATTGAATATCATGTTGTTTTTACTACCATGATATTTATATATTTTTTCGTGAAAATACTAATGGTAGTTTGTTATTATTTATTTTTGATACAAAATTCGAACAAACAAAATATTCCTTTGATCCGTCTGTAAATAAGACACAGAGCTTTCATTGGTTAAATAATCACGAGATATCAATGAGCCGGAGCAATCTAGATTCCGCGACTGTTTCTTAAACCTTTTTCCTGATGATTTAATTTTTTTTTATAATATCAACTAACGGCACGAACAAGTCGTACGCCTGGTGGTAAGCTACACACCTGTGCATAACAGTTGCAGTGCCACTCAGAGCTTTAAATCGCAAGCTGGCAGTACGTCTCTGGACGATCTCTTTCACAAGGAGATCTACTGCTACTAGTTTTATATAGAACATTTCCAGAGAGTTATCGGTAAGTTTCCTGCGTTTGTGGTTACAGAAAAGAAGTTACAAGTAGGGTGGCGGTATCTAGATACCAGACGCTAGCCAGACTTGTTCTTTACAGTACAAAAACACAACCACCAGTTTAAAGCAAGTAAGAAAAAATATGTTCCTCACACAGATTGGGAGTGGAACTGCGACTATGGCGAGCGATTCGCGATCACCGTCTACAATCATCGCTGAATTTTCGACGCACGAGCAGCACTGAAACTGACATGGATACAAACACGATGGAAGTTGTTGAATGCCAGCGATGTAAGTGCGCCACACGTCGTACTATCTCAAATCATTCGAATATCTCAAATAATTCGAATACGTCAAACAATTCGAATTGCTCGAATAACCCTACAGTCGTGATAAGAGAGAGAGAGAATGGAGATGATAGAGAAGCTGAGTTTTATGGAGATAATGGAATGGTCAACCTTTGACAATTGCGCGGGTGGTGCACTCTGCAGTGAAAGGTCTCGAAAGTGTTGCAGTCAAGTTATACAATGTTTCTGGTTATTGTATTGCATGTTATATGTTGTAAAATAAATACAAATATTTTATTCACGCAAACGCGAACTAAACGTAATTTAAATTCGGTTCGTCTGTTTCATTCGATATCGGTAAAAAGGACAGAAAATTGAAAAATTTTTAATTTAAACAGTTAAATTAGCCAACGCCCGTACTCATACTCCTTACTCCTTACGCCCATACTCCTTATTTTTGTTATTATCTTATAAAACTAAAGTTTGTAGTGAGATCTTGGACTTACATTTTTAAGTTTAGTTTGCGTTTGTATTCAATGTCAACCTTAACTTGGTCTTAACCCTATTTATAATGTGCCTTACCGTCATTTAAAAACGAGACCCGTATTGTGTCGTTAACAATGTATTGTAAGCAATAATCTGTTTCATTAGTTATATAGCAACAAAACAAATTAATGAAAAAACATTCAAGTGCCATTATTTTATAAGTAAATTATAACTTTTCAGAAGGTGCTATGTCGTTGAAGGGGAAAACTTGACTGAAACACCCAATTTAAAAGTGTTATCGTAAGCAATTTGATGGCAATATCTCGTAGATGTAGTTCGGTACAAATACTTAATAACTAATATCAATGGACCAATAACTGAAGAGGACTGCTAATCTCCATACTACAGAACGTAACTTTCAAGGTCAAAATTCCGTCTTATGCCTAGATGGCGCTGATCAATAGCCTAGAAGTAGTTTATATTATGTAAATGGCCGTGGATATCAATTAATTCCTCTTTAATATGAAATACAAGTAGTTGATTTTTTCCTTCTAATATTATTCAAATATTGACCGTGAGCTAAAATTTCTTTCTGAACTTTTTTCCCCTCACCTCCCGCCAAAGGAGTAGAGTCCATCCCCACAAGATGCCTGACCTTGTAAGACCACGCGGGCATCTCGTTCGTTCCTTCAAGATATGGCATTATCTTGCAGACATGGGGTTCTTCAAAAAGCGTGTTTACAGGGCTCTTAAAGGCTGGCAACGCATAGGCAGCTCATCTGATTTTGCAAATCGACTGTGAACTAGTAACCGGTACTATCTCAGTTTTGATAACTTTACATTGACTTTACAGGTGAAGAAAAAAATTGTTTGCATTTATTTATCCCATCTGGTATATTAAATAAAAAAACGTCGTATATGTGTAACAAAAATATTTAAAAACTACTTATTTTTATTTAATAAATCAAATGCTATATAAATGATCCAAACAATATTTTTTTTCACCTATAATCATCAATGTAAAGTTCTCAAAATTGAGATAGTACCGGTTGCCAGGTCACAGTTGAAATGTCCATGGACGACGATGACCACCTCCCAAGTGGCTCGTCTGCTCCTTTGCCTCCTTCTTTACATAAAAAAAAATAAATAAATAGCTATTTGGTACTCGTCGCGACATCTGGTATACCTACAGGTACTAAATACCCGATTACGCTGTCTTGTATCGCGGTTAGCAGTCCTATTGAGATATTGGTGCTTGCTAATACACAGTTGACGGTTCGTAGTATTTTTAGACCAATACAAAAGTGGCAAGACTGCTTGGGATACCTATAACACTTATCTAAAAGACGTAATCGATCCTTGAACGCTAGGCAAGCATATGCTTCCATAGATTTTTGCACTCGTTAATGTACAGTTCACTAACACGTGACAAAGAAGTGTTTTGTTTGCCTAACTAGCCTATTTTAGTTACGTAATTTCAGTTGCTTACAATTTATTTTCACAAAGATCAATTTTTCGTAGACCTAATTTCTATGGGTGAATACCAAGGCACCGGAATTACATAGATTAATTACAGCTTAAAAAAGTTACTGGTCAAACTAGCAGAACGATGTTTTATTGGTCTAAGATTCATATGAAATGAGTTTCATCATTGTGTGCGCTTTCTCTTACACATAACATTGCTTTATAAATGCTTGAGACCTCGGAGTGTTATCACCCACTAATAATAAAGTCATGTAAAATATAACTCGAAAGTATAGGTTTAAAGTATAATTTTGGAATATTTATATTAATTAATACGTAAAAAATATTATTATGCTATAATATAATAATTTGTTACTAGTCTATATTGTAAATATTATTTTTTGTTACAAAAGAGTTGAATTTTTGTTGAGAATTGGCTTATTAAATAATAACTGTTAAGTTTACATGGAATGTTAACACGGAGCGTAATCTTTTAAGAAGTGATAAATGTAGCCTTAATGCAGAAAAGCACTTAACTTAATGTTTATTACAAAACTGATTGTTTAAACTACACCGCGCCTATGTATAGCGCCACATACGCCGAAATCCAGTCGCGTTATATCGGCGTCTTCCAGTATCTTTTAATCAGTAATAGTATTTTGTCATAGAGTCATCTATGACTGTATAGCGATCTCTCATTGGAATAAATAAAATGCGCGGCGAAAATTCGGTGTGGCGCTAAACTAAGGCACTTACTTATTGCACAGAATAGCAGAAAAGAGATGCATTTGAACAGCCAATAGGATTACGTTATTTTCGCACTAAGAGATGTCGAAATTGAAAGAAATTTTATGGTTGTTAATAATTTATATGCAAATTTACAACATAACGTTTGCAAACAAACAATGAAAATTGGCTACGAGTAAGGAAAAGATAGTCTTTTGACGGCACTGGTTGTGTAACTTAGTAATCATGATGTCTAGTTGCGAACATATAAAGAAAACACATCTATCGCAAACAGTTGCGTATAAAGAGTACCGAATCGGTTATCACAAGTGGTTATGAACTACAGTAGTGATGGCGTCCGGTGGGGGTTTACCACGTCTCCACGATTTACACGACGCTTTAGTGATTCATAAGTAGCGACGTGATGAGGGATAGAAGAAATATTTTCGATTAAATTTTGCCATGTGTTTGCTCTGCGTACACCACGTAAAATTTTATTTTGTAATAAATTACCACCAGTATAGTTAATGGCAGTAACAGGTTAGTGCTCCCTCAATGCCGTCATTCACATCGCGAATTAGGTTAATATCCGTCGTAATGCAACGATGAAAAGGTATGTGTTTAACTTCCTAAGACAAGGCAAACCATAAATGGGAAATGCGCTAAACACTCTATTAAAACTATAAATAAGTACTAAATATAATTACAGGCTTCAGGCCCAAACGAGTATGATTCTAAAATATATATACTTTTTTTAGAAACCCTTTGGCCAAATAGAATATACAGGGTTATTTGTAAAATATTAACAGACTCTCAGGACTATATTACTAACATGATAAACAACTAATTGTATTCCATTACTGATGAATTATGTAAAGCCATGGAACAAAAGTTGTTGTTTATGATGTTAGTAATATAATCTTGCGAGGTTGTTAATATTTTACAAATAACCATGAATAGCGCTAAATTTGAATTCGATGTTTAGGGGTTTACGTGGTCATCATACATCTGCCGTTCACTAACTAAAACGCGGCGAAGTGATAAATGGTCAAATAACCGCTTTAAATAGCAAAAAATAGAGCACAAAATTCTCTTTTAAAAACAGGTAAAATTAGTTAACGTGTTCGACTTACCCTAACGATGCATAACTGAAATATCATTAATCAATTTCAATATTCTGAATACGGGGTTATGATTACTATGATATTTCAAAAAATTATTTTGTCACTTAGCCGCGCTTATGAGGTTAAATCTTCTTATCGTAAGGAAAGGATGGAAAGGATTTGCCAATCGGCGTACGTAATCGTCGATTGTTACCCAGTAGGGCTAGATCTCTGTGCGAGAAAAGCAGTATCTCGCGCTTTATGTCGCTCTCGCGCTTTATGTCGCTCTCGCGCTTTATTTCGCTCTCGCGCTAGTTGCGCCATACCGTGCTAGAGCTTAAATAACCAATAGGACAGGTATCAAAACAACGAAATCTTATTCGCCGATAAAGCGCACTTTCTTGAACGATAGCTTTACGGAATCGTGGTGAGTCATACGCCAAGCGCGTCGATCTAAAGATGAACAAGTATAAACGTAAAAACAGTAACACCTTACTATACAAATGAATCAATGTTCACAATCGATTTTGCGCATTAATTTGTTAAGTGCTTGGTTTTATTACGCCATTTAAGTAAACTTTACGGGTTGTTCGTAATCTCACTGGCAAATGGAAAAATTTTACATTCGGCGTCCTGGCCGAATTAACGTGTAAAATTTTTATCAATAGATAAAATGATGTAAAATATTTATCTATTATAAACTTCCTAAATTTTTTTACGCTAAAAAAGATAAATAATCTATTTTAAACGCATATCAAACCATTTTTAGGGATAACAAATATAAATCTAGCACGAATACAATAATACGCATCTAAAAAATTTACGATTTCGTTAACGACGTAAAAACATAGGTTAATTTATTTCCATCATTACGTAACAAACGTATGACGGCAATGATAAATAAATCTAACGCGTGCAGAGTTATTGAAGTACTCTTTTTATTTTTCCTGTGAAGTTGGTGTTTTGATAATAAAAGTTTATACGGTGGGGCCGTCGAATTGATTTGGGCTACATTTTATGATAAAAACAGGGAAATCGGGAATATCGTATTTGATAGTTTAATTTTTGTACTACGCTTTCATATACTTTATTTATACTATTTAGTTGCAATATATTTAATTTAAATTAGTACTATTTATTTCCTTACTATCTTTTTGTGTACCTTCCGTATCAATTATATTAGTTACTCTGCCTCTAAGAAACCAGTTTATGTTAGACTTATCAGACTAATTTTATAGTACAGCCGCGAGCAGTAAAATTTATACACAAAGATAAACTAAAATAAGGTTTCATTGGAATCATGAAATATTTATCACGCATAATAAGATCTTTTTGTAATTTTTTTTTATGGGGTATAATATTGTAACAAAGGGACAAACGTATACATTGGT